AGTTAGAATGATGTACATATAATAAATAAGAGCGCATCAATACAGACCATACAACATGAATTTTAATTCGTGTAGCTCTTAAATCACTTAATATACCTACTTATTTTTGATTTCGACGAAATTTTGTCAGATTGGTTAGTTTATAGTTTTAATTGTTTTAACAAATAACCAACCTGTAAAGATAATACAAAACGCAATTTTCTGAAAAATGCTGTATATTTATAATATATAGTTGTCCATGGAGCGTAACCTGTATCATAAGAATAATCTTTACATAAGTAGTCGTCGCTTTTTGTTCTTGTACGCTTAGATCCTTCAAACTACACAACGGATTTTAATGCGGTTTTCACCAAGAGAGAGTGATTCAAGAGGCGGGTTTATACGCACGGCAAATGCTAGGTAAACCGTCTTCTTTAATTTCTCATCTGTTACAAAAAGGACTTTGTTTTTTAAAACATACATCAATTTACGTAACCTAGAGTTAAGACTATAGATCAAAATAATGTACTACGTATATCTTAAAAAGATCTACAAAAAGTCCGTGATGATATATATCTGTCTTCTAAGAATAACACACAAAAACCATTTTTATCTTTTACATATTACAAGAAATAATGCCAAATTTACAAAGCCTTTTAGAAAACATCATCAACAGCCTTTAGGTAATAGTCTTCTCCTTAGAATGGAGGTTTTGGTCTACTATACCACGCTGGCCAGACGCGTTTGTATTGGGTTTGCATACCGCCTCATGTCGCCCTGAGTGTGGCCCTCAGGGCCTGTTATTTTCCCTTCCACCCGCCATAACCGGACAATTACACTTATATAATTATACAATTATATACGTTAGATAGGTATATTATGCATTTAATGTAGATCGAAATGGACCTCTATAGCATATTATTAAAAAGAAACGAAGATATCAGCGTACGTCCTTCCCGGGTACAGCGGCCGGCTGCAGGAGCGGAACGGGCCTGTAAAATGTCGTATATAAAGACGTACTGTTCTATAATAGTCTTATCATAATAATAATATTATTAATCAATCCACACTCACACTACATAATTAGTATTAGTAGTATCTACATTGCACACGTGCAAAGCAAAGGTGGATCGCTAGTATTTTATAAGTGAATTTACTAAAACCTGGCCTGGCTAAACTGACTGCAAAGAAGGCGCATAATTTACATAAAGTAAGCCACTTGTAATAATTGACACGTTAAAGACACATTAAAAATTATTTAAACTATATAGGTAAGTAACTTCTAATGATGTACCAAAACTGACAGACGCTGATAAACATGTATCTACTTAGAGTTAGAAGTACCTAAACCTGACGTGTTTAGAACAATAGATTCCTTTATTTTTGGGGCTATTATTGAAAATAAAATGGTTTCGTAGATGTTAGTTAGTAATTGTTTTTCTATATTTTGTTAATAACCCTTTTTATGGGGTATAGAATGTATAGATACCGAGGTGTACATTTTCTACAATGTTAATTTACATTTCACACAGTTTGTCGGATCCACGTTAAACTTAATGTCACTTCGTAACCACTTCTGCTTAGTAATTAGATTAGTTTTAAATTTCTTGGTAGTCAAACATGGAATAATAAATATTGTAACAAAAATACGAGTATATCGACAGATTTTAATAAATTTGTTTATAATTGTAGATCGACTTTTACTAAAATACTTTTTATGAAGGTGTTTCAATTCATTTTTAAAACTCCGACGATCCGATCTTCTTTATAAGTCTCAGATCTTATATTCATAACATACATCAACTTCTCATACGTACTCAACGGAATTTATTTAATCAAACAATGGTTTCATTAAATAAACTCTCCATGAAGTTCCTAATGAAAATATAATTATTATTTTAACATTTTTATACACAATTAATGAGAATACTTTTAACAATGATATACATAATGTTTAAATTATATGTTTACAATAAACTTGTAATATTAGGTCTAATGAGTATTTTATATATATACAAAGAAATTGTTTTCAATAATAAATTGAAATTATCCGTATGAGCTATCTGCTGCTTAGTAAAAGTCACGTGGGAATTCCGCAATCTAAATTAAATTTTATTCATTTGTAATACTCAGTTTTAACTCAGTTTTTTAAGTTAACAACCGTAAAGTATTTACTCGAATTCTCTCTTCTTCGACTTTTTTCTTTCTTTCTTCTTTTATAATGTTCGATTCCAAGTGTTTCGATCCATATATCTATACTAATATTATAAAGCTGAAGAGTTTGTTTGTTTGTTTGTTTGTTTGTTTGTTTGTTTGTTTGAATGCGCTAATCTCAGGAACTACTGGTCCGATTTAAAAAATTCTTTCAGTGTTAGATAGCCCATTTATCGAGGAAGGCTATAGGCTATATATCATCACGCTAAGACCAATAGGAGTGGAGCACCAATGAAGAATGTTTCAAAAACGGAGAAAATTTATTACTATTGAGAGACGCAGACGAAGTTGCGCGGGTCAGCTAGTTCGATATAATTTGAAAGGTGATTCGGCAAAAACAGAGTGATCATCATCAACAGCCTTTAATAGCCCACTGCTGGACATAGGCCTCTCCTTAGAAAGGAGGTTTTGGCCTACTATACCATGCTGGCCAGACGGGTTTTCCTTTTATTTGCAGTGATGTGGTCCTGCAGAGTTTGCTCCCTTAATCGGATCCTACATGTTCATCCTATCGGTGTGAATAAGGGTAGTGACACTGCGTATTCTTAATCCGCCACCACACGGACAAGGGGAAGTGAATTTATGCCAAAACAGCTGGCTTGCAATGGCCCTTTCCCTTTTTCCCAAATTTATTTGAGAGTGTATGCGAGTACCACATACACGTGTAAATCAAATCATCGACATCGTGAAAACAATGGCATATATAAAAAAACTCATTAAAAAAAAATCTATTATTTCGTTAACCATTGTTGTGTATTGTTAATTCAAATAGAAATTCTTACTTACATTTAGAACTAAAAGTAGATGATTGCCCTATGAAACTCCTATTTCATCGACTTTCTATCGTTTCGATTATTGTATATAAATGTAGAATACTTATCTATTGTCTCATACTTCAACAAGAATTATACATCATCATACTGTATACATACTGCGTATATGCAGAACTGCCACCACATTAAAGTTTTCGAATTTTACTCTAACTCTCTCTATTTGAGTTTTCAGCATCTAATATTCTCCGTTTAGATATAATTTGCGTCCATTCCTTGTATTTTACTATACTACTTCGCAGCACCAATTTACAAGTCCGAAATATTCTGCACTAGTAAAATAATTTGAAAGAATAAATAAAATATAAACAAACAGAAAAAAACTGAAATGAGATGGAAATATCTTGTAAATACTGTTTCAACAGTGATTGCACGGTGTCCTACTTCTCTCAACTCTTCACCGCAATAGTAGGTTGAAAATATACGAAGTAACAGTACATATACATTTATATTTTATGACGAGCACTAATTAAGGAAACAAGAGAAGGTAGGTAGATACATTGGCGCCAAATATTGCAACACCAATAAGTTCAGATTAACTTTCGAACACATTACGAAACAAATAACTAACATGGCAAAAAGCAATTGTTGATTCATGTTACATATCAAGTCTGATAGTGTATATTACTTATGTAAACCTTAATAATAAAGTATTGCATATTGCGTATATTATATTACAACTTAATTTTCTCACTACATCTAATTGAAAGTAATAGAAGGAACTACTTATAAATAAGCAAAAACCATCAGAAATATGAAATTTCTTAGATGTTAATACTCTATAGAGAAACAATCAAATACGTGTTGTTTACTTTCGTGTCTGTTTTGTAACTTTGCAATTGAGAAAAGTGCTATCCTTATATAAAGTATTTAAAAGCTTTAGATATAAATAATAAAGATGTATAAATTAAAAACAAAACATATTACTCAAAGTGGGAAAGGCGCTGTTATACAGGTTCGGCAATAATTGTGACGTTACTTAGATTACGAAGTATTAGTTGAATGCATATACATTGGACCATCTTTAAAAAGGAGAGTAAAAAAAGAGTTTTGAGGAACCTTCTTTAATAAAAACAATTATATCTGTCTTAAGTAGGTAAAGGTCATTTCCAGAGACTATTTCATGTTATTTTTTGTTTTGTAAAAGAATTTTATAAATAAAAACAAAGTTAACCTATACTTAGGTTCCCTTATGTGGAATCCATTGCACTTGCACACTTGCCCACTTCAGGTGGTAGTAAAATAGTTATTTGACCCTTTGATTAAAACAAGTATTAAATATCAGCGTGAACGAGCACTAGTTATTTTGTTATGTATTGCTCATGAAATGCAAGGCGGAAGTCTGAAACCTGGCAAGGTAACTGTTAAATACATTTAGCAACTGACATTTATTTGTTATTAATTCTTTATTGTTTGACGTATTCGCTTTGTTTGTGGATAATTATCTATGAACACCTACGTTCTCCATATGCCACGCATGTTGTACAACAATGTCAAGAACAAAATGCTAAACTCTGTTGAAATTTTAATATTATCTTCTTAGTGTTAACGTAATGACTCAAGTTATTCTTTAAAAATAGTACCTTACCTTTAATACCTGTCTAAGGCCATATCGTCACTTTTGACCACGGGATCAAACATATCTTTGATAACCTACCGTAAACTAAAGAAGTTATGTTTTATGAATGAAGAGAGTTTTCTATCCTTTTCTCGTAATTCACCTTTTGCCAGAAGGAAAATGGACCCAATTAGAAGATGGATTTGAATAGAGTAAAACAAAAACGCACCTTACCTTGTTTGCCATTTGAGGGTTTATCCTCATTACTATTTTAGTTATCAAACAGAAACACAGACAGGTTTTCATCAGTTACCTTTGTAACATTACTGTACTCAATATATTTTATTTTCATTAAATTTGGATCCAAAATATTTAACAAATTTAAAAAGCTTACGTTATAATTAATATTTCTTTTCCAGTATTTATTATACCGCAACGATGGGTGATGGCAATAATGGGTTTCCTCGCGGTCGCCAATGCGTATACGATGCGGGTATGCCTGAACATCGCGATCACGCAGATGGTTCACAAACGAGTGCATTCTGCCACGGGCAATGACGGCTCATGTCCTGCTGACGATGTTGCGGATGTTGCTGTGAATCCCACGGTGAGTCCTCATAACATAATAATTATAAATAATAATAAATCTCTGTATTGTACATCAGGTATATACAATCAATAAATCTAATAAAAAATTAAAAATACACTTCGAGATGTTAAAAAAAAACAATACTTATTTTATAACCGAGTCCATCCAACCCTATTTTTAACAAAAATAAGAGCAAAATAATTTGTTACGATTTGTAGTATTTAAAAATAAATTAGAGTCGGGTTCTTTCTCTATTATGATTCTTCTTCATTTGTTTACTTACACCAAAACTACCCATTAATTAATTTATCTATAGTCGATTTGTCCATCCGAAGGTTGCCTGTAAGAAATTGCTGTTACTGATAAGGCATCCATTTGTATGTACAAATGGATGAAGTCATTAATTTAATGTACTCTTGTATGCATGATGGTGTACAATAAGGTTTATTCTATCATCCATTATCTTTTAACTTTTTTATTCTCTTAAAAGAAACACCATAAACATTTATAAAAGTATTTTATAAAACACAGGCATGTCTACCACGCATATTAAATACTTACTTCATGCTCTTGCACACAAGAAACAACACGTGACCTGGCTTAGAGTCGTATGAATGCAGAGAATTGTATAATTTTTAATGCAAGGTTCCAATTCGATTCAATAATATTATGGGCATTTGCAGTTCAAGAGTCTAAAGTGCGTTAGCCCCCTCTCTTACCCCTCCCTCCACTCACTCTGTAAACAGCAACGAAAAATTGCTTAACACTGGTTTTCAGGTTTTCTGTTTTCCGGTCGAACCGGCGCATTTGCCCCGAAGCACAGCTCAAGATATGACACATTCCTGTAACAGGCGTCTTAGCGCTATGGCTCCATATTACCGTTATTGAAGAGTGGACGTATCTGTTACCAAATTTACATCGATTTAATTAACACTCCTTTTTATCTATAGACGAAAATACTTATTCGGATTTCTATTTCAGGAAGTAACGGGCTACGACTGGGATGAAGCGACGCAAGGCATAATCCTAAGTGCGTTCTACTATGGGTATATAGTAACCCACTTGCCTGGTGGTATGTTGGCGGAACGGTTTGGTGGAAAGTACTCTTTGGGCTTCGGAGTACTTTGCACGGCAGTGTTTACCTTACTGACCCCATGGGCTGTCTCAGCCGGAGGAGCTACTGGATTGATAATACTTAGGGTATTTGAGGGACTTGGAGAGGTGAGCATGTAAAATTACGCCCATACGTGCATATGTGTGTGGTTTTTGTATAAGTTTTGCTAATGTTGATAGAATGGCCGGATTTATACAAAAATCGACTTTTTGTTATCTACACGTATCTTTCTGTATTACATTGTGTACTCGTGGTATGTGTTTCATAATTGTGATGTTAATGGCAATGATGTTGTTGAGAACAATTTCTAAAGCTATCATATTTACAGGGTACAACATTCCCCGCCTTAAACACTATGCTGGCACGATGGGCCCCTATAAATGAGAGGGGGCGAATGGGGTCTCTGGTATTCGGTGGTGCTCAGATCGGCAACATCGCTGGGACCTACTTATCAGGACTAGTGATCAAGGAAACTGGAGAATGGCAGTCCGTATTTTATCTGTTTGGTGCTGTGGGAATTCTTTGGTTCATTCTGTGGGTAAGAAACTAAATATAATTTCGCAAACGCATTTCCTTGAATAATTCTAAATTCGATCATAGATTAAAAAATATCTGTATGAAGGAACTTCCTATACTAGGTGTAATCTTATTACTACTATACTAATTATAATTAGCTGCTTAATACTTCAAAATGCACCGATAAATTGGTAGATGCATTGCCCATTATGTTTTAATTAATGTGAATAACTCACAGGGTTATTGAAAATTTTATTCTCTTCCAAATGCACTTTATTGTTTTTAAGCAATTCAATCTACAATGGTATTATTGCATTGTATTCTTCGTCAATGGATGATTAGGTCATGAGCTGAATGGTGTTTACCATGGAATATTAAATAGAGATTTCGGTTGTTTGAACTCTGATTTTACATGTGGAATAATATTAAAACATAAGTGTTAAAACAATAACAGGAAGAGTCAGTCCGTCCTTTGCGTAGTTCAGAAAGTTAAGAATGCTCGTATTGTGTATAATTAGATTTAAACTTTAATATATCGTAAATATATAACTGTAATATATGTAATATCGTAAATAACGGATTTAGTGGATGAAGTGTCACCACCCCTATTCATCCTATGGGTGTCGTAAGACCCGACTAAAGGAGCAAACTACGTAGGACAAAAGCACTGCAAAGGGAAGGAACACTTGACACAAATCCTATACCAACCCGTGGTTTTGGCCTACTATACCAGGGCTATACTAGGCCAAAACCTCCGTTCTAAGAAGAGGCCTATGCCCAGGAGCGGACTCTTAAAGGCCGTTGATGATGATTGATGATATAGTGAAAAGTTTATAATTATTTTTTTATTTAGTTGTGTTCGGCGCAAATAATAAGTTAAAATGTCATCATACTTAGATATACCACATCCAATACAAGCTGAACTTTTAAGACTAGTAAATTTTCGAAATTAGGAAATTCTATTTGGTAACTAAACTACTACTTTAGTAATTAAACTAAACTAATCTTTATTCAGATTTCTGACTATAATAACATTTCATTCTTCGTTTTTTTTTTACAATATTCACGTACAATCATTTACGTTTATTGTAAGTTTTTGTAAAAGTAATTAAAATAATTATTTATGGACAATGTTTTATTAATATTTTAGGCGCTGCTTTGTTACAACGACCCCGAATCGCATCCGTTCATTTCTGACAAAGAGAAAAAGTATTTAGAAGAGGCTCTGGGCAGTTACCGCAACAGTCAGCCTTCCGCCATACCTTGGAAGGCCATCTTCATGTCTGTTCCACTTTGGGCATTAGTTTGCGCTCAGGTAAGGTTATATCCTATTCTGTTTTACTAATCAATGTGATGATTGAACTTTTATTGTAAAAAAATACTTACTCGTTTGAGACTGTGGACTAGATAGTGTAAAAAGTTATTATTTTTATTAAAGTAAATACTATAGGAAGAGCATTAGTATTAGTAGTGCGTACAAAACGCGTCATTTAAACATTATTCAACCAACGTACATATGTATATGTCGAATAAGAAGCTGACATGAATGAATGTCAAGGAATTAGGAAAAAATAGTGAAATATTTTATGAAACACTTTGTGTTACGAATTCCTGAACGTACTCGTACATAAATTCCCCGATTTAGTGAAAGCTTAATAATTAAATAATTATCATTATAAATTTAATCGAACTGGGCTCTATGAATAATTAAGTTGAACTAATTTACTCTCGCCTGTGTTACTACGTGTACATTCATAAACTGCTCTTACCTAAAAAAAAAGTTAAATAAAACATCTTCAGAATCAACAGTTAACGTTATTATTTCAACGGCCATCACATTGTGATGAAAAAATACAATTTTTACTGAATAAACCGCATACCTATTTACAGAGACTGGGACAGCTACAGATCTCACAACAATTGTACATACATATGCAATGCTGAGATCATCAACCGCAACCTTGAGATTAATAGATAGAGCATTCTACAAAGTGGAAGTTATGTACTATTTTTTAAATCAAAAATACAGCTTAGCACAAGCATACATATTACAGGTTGATGATGATGATTGACCATAAATATAATGCGGACACTAACAGATTTTAAATAACTTAGAATGAATAGATGTACCTATTCGGCATCTTATTCTTGACGATTACAGGAATAACGGTATGTGTTAAATGTGGGTTTGATACATCACACCGAATGCCACTACGTTGCAAATGACGTTTAAATTTTCAATAAGTACGTGACATCGATATTTAATTGGTATTTACTGTAAGCAACTGACAAAAAAGTTAGGTTCTTTATTAGGATCAAAGAACATACTATGTAGGTACTTAGTTCGTGGTAATTAACTAAATGACTACTGTCGTAAAAGATTAGCATCAAAATCAATGTATAGATAGGCAAATTAAAAACGATTTCGCCCGTGTCTGGCAAACAATTTTATTTTTATTTTAAGAGCTATGGACAAGCAAAATTTTCATCAATTAAATTCTCTTGTTTGCAAGCCCATTTTCTTCAACACTTACTTTTATTATTAAGAATAATTTAATAAATTACGTTAAATTTTTGACCTCTACACCACTGCAGGTGGTTGACAAAACCAATGTCAACCTTCAACCTTTTTATCACTGGTATGAAAACTAGTTATATTTAGCAGATAGTTTCACAATAGGTACAGATGTTTATTGATAATATCACTCAAGAAACAGTATTGAGAAGCTCGTCGTTATTCTGTGATTCAACTTGTAAAATCCAAGTAAAACTTGACACGCTGGTGATAATTAACTACATAGAATTAAATAACAAGTATTAATTGTTACATCACGCAATTTAAAATAAAAATTCAAATATGATCCTTAATAAATAAAATGAGTAGATAACTATGCTATGCAATATAGGTACGTCACTGTAAGTGCAAACTTACCATAGTTATTGCTTATTGTCTGTCAAACAAAAAGAAATGATTGATAAATACTTATTGTTTCCACCATCCGATATGTGTTATGCAATTAAAAGAACTAGTGAATGAGTTCTAAATAATAATATATAATCTCTAATATTCTATACTTAGGGTATAGAATATTAGAGATTTTGTCTATTTTGTCTATTATGATTTTGTCTATTAGTCATTTTGTCTAAAACTTGGAACGTACCTTCAATTTTAGCAGAAAAAATTCTAGTCGCGCCTTGAAAGTATTGGCATGGTGGTGATTTTTTTTCAGTATAGTTTAGATAGTGCTGTAGGCTGGATACATTTAATTTTTATAAAAAATTAAGTTCTTACAAAAATTACCTAAATGCCTGACCTAACCAATGTAGGTCATTTTATTAAAGAAATATTTAGATAGTTATATGAAACAAAGCACTACCCCTTAAATACGGCACACGTTAAGGGAAGAAAAGGGGTTCAACTATACAATGTGAAATAAGGAGTATGGGAGATCATAAGCATCGTGCCGTTACATATCCAAATCTAAATTATAAAAACCTATTAATTGAGATCATAAGCAAAAACAGTTTTTGAATCTGAATTGTTTCTCCATAACTAGCGCGTTCAACAAAAAAAAATCATGTATTTCAATAAATATATGTATCGACATAACAATACCATTTTTTTCTCATTTCCACCATTCCACCGTTTATTGACGGCATTGACGTAGGTATATTATACATAAGTAACTGCTCTGTTTGCTCCGTTGAGGAACAGCCTTCTTTAGTAAACATGGCCACAATGAAACGCGATTTTGTAGGTAACACTATAATACTTGAGATTAATAGCGTTCAAATAGAAAAACAACTTATACAAACTACCAACTCTTTAGTTTTATAATAGAGCCAAGTTTCAAACTAAGAGTTGTTTAAACTGTGAAGTTATAAATCTTATCATCATCATCATCAGCCTATCGCAGTCCACTGCTGGACATAGGCCTCTCCCATTGCACGCCACTTAGATCGATTTTGGGCTTCTCGCATCCAGCTCCTGCCAGCCATCTTGCGCAAATCGTCACTCCACCTGGCCTGTGGGCGTCCTACACTACGTTTGCCGAGACGCGGTCTCCACTCAAGAACTCGTTTTCCCCAACGGTTATCGGTTCTGCGGCTAATATGGCCAGCCCACTGCCACTTCAACTTGCTGATCCGGTACGCTATGTCGGTGACCTTAGTTCTCTGCCGGATCACCTCATTTCTGATGCGATCCCTTAGAGAAACGCCGAGCATAGCCCTTTCCATAGCACGTTGAGCGACTTTGAACTTGTGGACCAGCCGTACCGTAAGTGTCCACGTTTCAGCTCCGTATGTCATGACGGGTAGGACGCACTCATTAAAGACTTTCGTCTTAAGGCACTGTGGGATCGACGATGAGAAGACTCGACGTAGCTTCCCAAACGCTGCCCAACCCAACCGAATTCTTCTGTTCACCTCGTCCTCGAAGTTGTTTCTACCTAACTGCAATGTCTGCCCGAGGTACACATAATTTTGAACAACTTCGAGAACGGCACCGTGTACCGCAATCGGTTCCGGTAGTACATGTTCGTTGAACATGACCTTGGTTTTATCCAAGTTCATCCGTAGGCCGATGCGTACAGAAGTGTCAGCTAAGTCATTCAGCATTTGCTGTAGGTCCTGCAACGTCTCTGCCATGATGACGATGTCATCTGCAAATCGCAAGTGAGAGATGTATTCGCCATTGATATTGATGCCACGCCCTTTCCAGTGCAGCGTCTTGAACATGTCCTCCATTGCATTTGTGAACAATTTCGGGGAAATAACGTCCCCTTGTCTCACTCCTCGATGCAATGGTACGGGCCTTGTTTGCTGATTCTGTACTTGGACGGACATGGTGGCGGCTTCGTAGAGACATCTCATCACTTTGATGTATCGCCAATCTACTTGGCAACGCTGCAGGGACTCCAGAACAGACCAGATCTCGATCGAGTCAAAGGCTTTCTCATAGTCGTATACGTATATAGTCGTATACTTTCTCATAGTAGTATAAATCTTATACACAACTCAAATAGTGTTACAAAACATATGTATGTACATACATTTATTATTTTGTATGAGGCACACCAAGACAAATCCACTCAACCGTTACATTATACGACTGAGTGTAGTTTAATAACGGGTATGGCCGATTGTGTAATTGTCCATCGATATTTAGCTTAATGGCATATTTGTACCGCTACTGCACTGTGAAGTATCAATGTTAGGGTCGGTATCATGTGATCAGCCGCAAGCTTTACGAAAATTTGTTTTTAGGGTTACGTAGTCCTACAATTCTCAATAAACTCTTACAATTATGTATGGAACAGTGATACATAAAAAAAGGATAAAAAACTAAGCTACAACTTAAAATTACCCTTCACGTTTCAACTTTGTGTTTATTTCAAACTAAATGTTATTATCGAGAACTCGAGAACATTTTCACACGACGCGACTTATTACACAATAAATTTCAGAAAAAGTAATAGATAAATGTAACATTCAGCGACAAAAAGATTTTATGTATAAAATAATATTTTTAATATTATTTTATTAAGATATTATTAATTTATTAGGGTTTTAATATTTTCTAATAAATTGCTTACACCCAGATAATTACAAATTAAAAACAGATTAAAAGATATTTATTTAAAAGATATTACAGATTAAAAACGTGAAGAGTTTAAGTTTAATATATTTTAAGCTGCATTTTTTATAGACGAAAGTCCTTCCAAGAAGAATAATTTTTTAGCAAATTAAGCTCATGAATAAAGATATGATTGCATATATCTATATGCAAGATGATAGATGCAAGGTAATGTACAAAGGGCTTTGTACATTACAATTGTAAAGAGGGTATATATGAGTGTGGTTTAGATTCAGGAAATTGCATAAACTGTGGTGAAATGTTTTCAGAGGTGATTTAATTTGTCAACGGAATATTTTATTCGTATATTTTAGTGAATTGCCTACGTGTTTGCTGCTAGGCGCGTGTTCACGTAATTATATGTTAGAAACCAGAATTGTTGACATATTTTATTTGTATGTAGTTATTAACACTGAAGATTTCATAAGAATTCCTACAATGTGCTGGCCGTACTTACACGAGATTCTCGGGTAAAATTACCTATTATATTAGATAAGACCAACTTGTCCGTCAAGGTCTGATGCCATCTAATTATTTTATCAATAAACTCTTAACGTTTATTTACTTTTTACAATGTCCTCTGATATGATTTCACATCCATCACATGTTTGTCTTTAATGAATTCGGACGAATTTGATTGCAGAAATCAATATCAGTATTGCACTCTTGTATACTCTTATCCATTTTTTTGTGAATATAATAAGAAAATAAATCCTATTCCACACAGCAAATCAATTCATTCAAATTTTTTATAGAACAAATATAGCAATATAGAAACCATACAGATAAAATACTATGAACACAATAATAATAATAAATATTTATTTGCTTCAAACATGGTATAAGGATTTCCAGTTTTTCCAAATTTTTAAGTCGTTACATTGAATATATTTTGAAAATCATAATGCGAATCAATGAAAACATATCGTCTTGGGTATATAGCGGTCTTAACCACTCCTTTCCTTTCCCGAACTAAGCAAATATTAGTTATATGAATGTTGTGTAACTCATACATACTATTATACTTTTTTATGGTATAGGGAAATAAGGTCCCCTTTTGAGTTTCCAAGTACGAGAATCAAGGGCTTTCCCTTGGGAGGGGGGGAGGGGTTTAGTTGTGACGTTGTGACGTCTCAAATTTAAATTATATTTTTCTTTAATTTTATCCACAGATCGGACATGACTACGGTTACTTTACAATGGTGACCGACCTTCCAAAGTACATGACGGGAGTACTCAAGTTCGACATACACAGGACAGGCACGCTCGCTGCCTTACCTTATGCGGTCATGTGGCTCAGCTCTATCATTTTTGGTTGGATTTGTGACAAGTTGGTTAAGAATAACTGGCTGACTGTCACTAACGCCAGAAAGACTTTCACTACTATAGGTATGTATTATGCATATGCTAATTGCACTTAGTGTGGCCGAGTATTTGTTTTATTTAATTACCTACGTTAAACTGTTTGCTTATTGTTTTGTGATATTGTTCATAGTTTCCGTACGTCGTCTTTCATTTTAGATATTTTTTAATATGATAGGGTGTCAAACGAGAACACGGGTCACCTAATAGTAAGTGACTACCGACGCACATGGACACTTACAACTCAAGAGCCGCAAGTGCGTTGGCGTCTTTGAGTTTCCTCCTCGGAGTCAGGGGACTAGGGTTTAGGTTCCGGTAACCTCACTCATTCGGTGAAAAGCAATAAGAGAATTATTTAACGACGGTTTTCTGTGAGACCGTGGAATCACTTCACTCGAGCCGGCCCATTTGTGACGATGCACGGCTCTCCCACCATTGAAACTCGTATGTAAAACAAGTGACAACCACGAAATCATTTTAAATGTACCTATTCAAAAACAATTTGGGTTAGTTACCTAGGTACTGTATACTCATAACAATGGCGCAGTATGATCCTGGATTGATACTACACATTCACTAATGTTCTATTCATTAGGAATGATTTATTCATTAAATATACTTTGTAAGTAATTGTATACAATTGATAGCATTACAATATTTACATTTGTATAAAGTAGAAGTTGTTGAATTAAAACTTAACTCCTTACAATTCCGGAAATCAGCGTTACTAAAGCCGGTACTTCGATCCGATATATTTACAAATATATTATTGTTATACAAATTACATTCATGTTAATAATAATTGTTTGTTTAACATATATAAATAATTGTTTAACATTGGCTATTCATAGTCACCAGTCTACCGGTCCCATAGAAATCAATCCACCTGCTCCAGATATTAGCTGAAACAACCAGACCAGAAAGACCAGACACACAACATTTACATTAAACAATTTAAATTGAATTTTTGCTAAATTAAGTACCATGTAAACATTGAGAAGCTATTAGGAACACGCTAGATATTTTCTTACAAATATAATTATACAATCATCATCATCATCAGCCTATAGCAGTCCACTGCTGGACATAGGCCTCTCCCATTGCACGCCACTTAGATCGATTTTGGGCTTCTCGCAATATTACATATTAAATACATAATTACACATTACAATATTACACACAATTATAATTTTATGTATAGATAGTAGCAGTCATCGCTCATCTTGACATCATGTTTTTGATGACTGTGTTTAACTAGATGTACACACTCAATTAAAACAGCCCGAAACGAACGAACGAAATTGGTTCCAGTATAACACCTGTTATAATAATTATTCGGTAGTCATAGCTGCTAAGTACGTATAATAAAGTCAAGATGAATATTAATCATAAGTTTCAGCAATAGTTCTTAGTTCTTTTCGGTTCACTCAGAGGTGCTATTATAGTCTATTGAAGGTTGGGTATATGACAATTTATGGCTGAGAGACATCTCGTCTTCACAGTAATGAGTGGTTAGCCAGCACAAGTCGTCGTAGCCCTTATATAGTTTGCAAAACGAGTAAATCACCACACGTTGGACTTTGCTTGTTTGCAAGTATTACGAGTATATATGCAGATATAAAACCTTGAAATTCTTTCAACAGCTTCAGTCGGACCTGGCATCTGCATGATCTTAGCTTCCTACTCCGGTTGCGACACAACCGCTGTCGTCATCTTATTCACTACTTCTATGGGTTTGATGGGCGCATTTTACCCTGGCATGAAGGTGAATGCCCTTGACCTGAGCTGCAACTACGCAGGAACTATAATGGCTATTGTTAACGGCATAGGAGCTATTACAGGCATCATCGCACCATACCTGGTCGGCTTGCTCACACCTGATGTAAGTACCGGAACTAATCGCGTATTGTATTGCAAAACTCCGAGCGTTTTAGTTGGTCCCTGAATTTTGTATGTCATTTGACATATATGGGCAACAAGTTATGAAACTTTTCACCAAATAAGGAGCACGTACTTAATCATTTTTATTGTGATTTCAAATAGGCAGTAGTAATGTATTAGGAAGTAATTTTGTTACAACCGCCGTTAAAAGCATTATCGGTGGCACAGTTATAAGGAAATATTGTAAGGATATGACACATAGACTTTAAAAAAATATACCTACATTTGGTTTTATGTTTGCATGTACATAAGTCTTTGTATACATATGCAAACACAAAAAATAAGAACCGACGTGCATCTATGAGGTGCATGATGCAATTTCCTTTTTTGGTTTTCTAGTTATTGATAAGCTTTAGTGATGACAATATAAAACTAAATTTATTTTGTTTAGTAAGTAGGTAATAATTGCAATAGTTGATGACTAGTAGTAGTTGGAATAAAAATAGAAATACTGTAGATTCAACGATACTTTAGAGTTTTTAAATTCAAAGTGTATGTATTCCCAAATAATAATAATAATAATGTCACACATCTCACACACGGCCGTCTGATCCCAAGCTAGGCAGAGCCTGTACTATGATAATCAGACTGCTGATAAACATACATACATAATATAGATAAATTACACCCAGACATAGAACTAATGATCGTGCGCATCACACAATTATTTGTCCTGGGTGGGAATAGAACCCATGACTTAGCAGTCAGGGTCACTAACCACTAGACCAACAGGCCCGTCGTATTTGTGAGTAGAAAAAAATGTATTTATGAGTAGAAACAAATGTTAAAACATGTGAGTTCATATATTTTTTCAAAATGTCAATGCACTGGGGCGAACACTGATTAATTTATTTTATTATTTTAGAGTACATTGGTACAATGGAGATGGGTGTTCTGGATAGCTCTAGCCGTGTTCATCGTCACAAACTTAGTGTTCGTTGCATGGGCATCAGGTGAAGAACAATGGTGGAATAATACATCTGAAGATCCTAAGAAACAGCAAGAGGCCGAAGCCGGAAACAACCACTCCGTCAATGCTGAGGTCAAATTGTAGAACATAAACCCGATCAATTTGGTTTAAATTATGAAAATAGGGAAAATGCTCGACTTGAATTGAGGCTATATGCGTTTTCCTTTCGGAATGTTCCGAAATAAAAATGTAAATTTATACTATTATTGTCTTGATGCCGTCTGCATGAAAATTGCCAAGCCTATACTAGGGCCGGTAAATTTATGATTAAGGTAGTCGATAAAAACTGCTAAGAGTTAGTTTGTCGAATGAATATAAGGTTGTGTTTTTTGACTCAGTACCATATTAATATTGAAAAGATGTGTATACTAAACAATTTATAGTACAAACTGGAAGTGTTTTTGAAATCTTTTAAATCATAATAAAATGAGATTCATTGAATCCACAGCCAGTGTTATGTGATAGTAATAATAATAATTTAAAACTTCCTTCTAGATATTAAATAAACAGAGTATTGAACAGTTTATATTTAGGTATATTTAGTCAGTTAATTAGTAAAGTAAGTAAGTAATAAGTAGTCAGTTATTACTTGCTACGCTTTAATGATAAGTCAGTTATTTTTAATTTAATATTTATTACAAGTATTAATATTGTTGATGACTGTACCTACTATCCTTTTAAGTATTAAGTAGTTATATAAAAAGTATTACAATGTTTACTGGTGCGAATGCTTATTTTTAATCTGAATTCTAATATTTATGTCTTTAAATACATACATTTACTTGTTTTTCATAAATAACTAGCTGCCACGCTTTGCTGAGGCAAATTTGACTGCATTGATAAAAAAAGCCCAACAAAACTAACACGAAAAATGGTAAAAACAATATTTGAAGCGACTTGTTTTTCGTGTAAAAATTTTAGCTCAATCGGTGCCGAACTTTTCGAGTTTTTGAAGCGTACCTTCACAAAACCCAAATTAACATATTTATATAAGTAATGTAGAGTCACTTGGGAAAAAAGGCTGTGAAAATTAATTTGGAGAAATTATTTTTATTTGCATTAGGTAACAATTATTCTAATTACATATACCTATTATGCTGATTATATTCACTACCTTTATTTTTCAAATAGAGCAGACTTCCTTGTTAGTAAACGTTGTGCACATGATACCTATATACATTAATGTAAAATAAATGGGCACCTTGTTGTGTTTTATACAATTACAATATCAAGGTTAACCACTTCATATCTAGGTATTGCAAAAGTAATTCAATATTAAAAAATAAATTGACTTCTGCGAAAACGGAGAGCGTAGGTATCTAGCGTCCCTTTCAGCATTTACATCCATTCTGAAATAAATTGTAGCACCATTTTATTTTTACTTTAGTAACATATTATAAATAGCATTGCCGCGCTCACCAGTACTCAAACAATAACTGACTCAACTGCAGGCGTGAATTCAAAATCACATCCCGGATTTAAGTGTTTATCATACATAATAGGCATATTATATTTATGTATATATATTACCTATAGGCAAATTCATAAATCTAATCGGCATTTAAACGTGTTCAAAATCGAATCTTGGAATGTCACATTGAAGGAAATGCTGTGTTTGAAGGCCTGCCTGACCGAGTGTCTTCTTTCCACTTTTGTGTTCGCTAATGACTCTGTACACATAAATATCAGAAATTGCAGGTCTCACATCCTCTAGACATCTTTGAATAATTTTCGTTTTGTAAAAGATACTGTTTATATATTGAATAGACTCAGGCTAGTGACAAGAATGGCGTCTCGTGTATGATTCAATTATTGATTTATCTTCTCAACAATAAATCAAGTGGTCTAAGAGAATCGTGAGACTTAAAATTAAGATGATCTATGTTTTTATATAAACGATACAGAAACGGTTTGAGAGTATTTCTAAGAAAATGTTGATAATGTTACGGCTATAAACAGTTTGTCGTAGTTAAGAAAGTTATTTTTAAAAATTTCGCTGACACAGGTAACAGAAATCAATCCTGGAAACCATCTTGTGTCTATGCCCACAATCACAGAACACACCATGACAAAATTACTTGTATAAGAAAAAAATTGCAATACGAACATTGCATTTTGTACCCGGCTTCCGAAAAACAAAAAAAAATCGCAAAGAAACATTCATATATACGTCTCTGTATCTTTAGTGAACTAGTGATACGCATTCGGACGAGGATTATTTTTGGGTAGCATTCTAACCACTCGGCAGTAAATATAAAAGGAGGTGCCATTTCAAAGATCTGTATACTGGCTTTATTTTAGTGTAGAAATTCTAGTGGACAGTTACATATGTACGAAGATCCATTCAAGTTAAGCTATCTGAGATAGTAGTTCTTAAGTTATTTTGTACAATATTCTTGTATTTTGTTAAAATAAAAGACAAATCAAGTATTTTCTTTTTTATTTTTGATCTACCATTCATTATTTAAATATTTGGAATATAAATTTTTAATTGCTATGAATTAGGTATAAATAGTACCAATACCACAGTTGAAATGTGTTTTACACGTTTTATTTTTATACACAAAATATATTATATTACGTTCAAACGGCCAAATGATCTTAATAAATAAGCTTTTTCAGAAGAGTCGTACATTAACAAGTAATATATTACTAGAACCTTGGACACATCTGGATAAGATCATTTTTGTAATGTCTTCCTTTTAATGAACTAAGGTAAAGTAGTCATTAGCATCATCTGTCAGGTGTGTTGTTAGTTTTATTTAAAGGTGACCCTTTAATCTGAAAGTGTAAAATTTGTATGATGCTCGGTTGTACGGGGACATCTATCCATCACAATTATATGGAAATAACTCTAGCTTTATTTTTTTATGTATACAAAAAAAACTAGTTATTTAAAGTTTATATTAGTCCAAATTACTTAAATGTGAGAATCACATACAAATATTTTGTAATGAGAAGTCGTGATATCAGGACTAAGTTCTTTCTCTTTCTTTTTATGTTTAAAGACAACTCCCGCATTAGGAAAATATATTCCTGTGTCGCGGGGGACTTTACAAACATAGGTACATGAAACGGGCACAAAGAACACCCAGACTCAGAACAACAATTTGTGGATCGCACAAAGTGTCGTCCCATGTGGGGTTTGAACCCACAACACTCGACGTAGTAGGAAGTGGCGTGGCGACTGCTGAAACCACTACGCATTCCGTGCAGTTGTTCAGTATACTCCAGAGTAATATAATACTATACCCGGAGAACTACTTACAGACAAAGTCGTTTAAAATTTGGTGCCGCTACCTAAATACGAATACATCTTAACACCTATAAAAAATTAAATGTTAAAAATGTGAATGCTTACGACGACGTAAGCTTGTCACAAAAAGCGCATCATACAATGACCCTTATCACCGCTCATTATCTTCAGAAAATGTAACCGTAGATAATTACGATTATGTTTATAATTTTTAATGAGAGACTCATTTCAAGCACAATCGTATCTGACTAAATCTTGTGCGCAAAAAACTTTTTTTATTTTAATACAAATTCAAACCGTCAGAAAGCTACTATACTTGTGCCATGCTGTAAATTACATAACAAATATATCTATAGATCAAAAATATAAACTACACAGTAAGAATATATTACATCATCAATATAGCTACAATATACACAATATTATATTAAATCGTTTCAAAGGAGGAGGCCTAACCTTACTAAACCAACTTTATCGCTAACCGCCATTGCATTGATAAATGCTATATGTTTTAAAAGTTAAAAAAGCTTGACTTGTTACAAAATAAAAATTTAGGTAAAATCAGAATCAAAATCGCTTTGAGCAACAATAGAGATAAATTAATTAAATCCTTTTTTTTATGTTTAGATGTCCGAGATAAGTTGTGCACCTTTTCTTTATCGTTTTTATTTCATGTCTAACATAAATGACGAATGAAAACGGCGGATGATACAGTGACCAATTAATGACAATTACAAATTATGGCATTAGTACGCGAAACGTTAAAATAGCACGAACAAAATTCGATTATCCAATTCGATTACATGGTACAAAAACCCACTTGTGCACAACACTTCTTATTTCGTTTTCTTGTATTAAATTCTTAGGCATTAACGTACTTAAAAAAGAAAACTTCGGAAGAACCTTAGTCGGTAAAAATATCATCGATTAAAAATTCAATCTATATAGTAGGAACACTCCTGGCGGAAGAATATTTTAGTTTTAATAAAATAAATATACGGTCGGTAGATAGGTTTCCTTGTCGATTTAAGATTCATATGAAATAAAGAATCATTCATCACGTTGCATACTTAGTGTCTCCTTTATCGGGTTTTTATAGGTGTTCGATACGTGCCGAGGTTTTAAATTATCGCATATTTAAATGTTCCTCAATACAAGTTCAATTTGTACGTCACTGATTACTAGACATCAGATCTTTTTTCATAACGAAAGTTTTTTCTTATATCAACGGAGGTGTAGGTATACAAGTAAACTCTGATATAATAGGGTTTTTCTAAAAATATTGCCAAGTTTTTGGTTATAGACTGACCGAGTCCTCAAAACATAAACAACAGCAATGCTTTTATTTACATTTCTGAAAAAAAAAAAAAAACAAGTTTTACTGTTCATTAAAAAATGGTTGAAATTCAACCGCCAGGTGGTCTCTAATGTCTATAAATATCAGAAATTTAACCAACCAATCGATTTTCATTTACTTCGTGTTTTATTATTCAATCACGTAGTATCTCTAGGTCACACACAAAAAAAACAGTACGCCTTTAAAATTGGCGGAAGGAAGCGATGAGAACGATAAAGTAATATAAGAATTAATGATCTAGAAAATATACCCAACCTAACTGTAAAATAGTGTTGTAATAGTTAATGTTGGCGTGTAACTTTGAAGCTCTAAAAGCTTGCTTCTAAATTGCTTTCCAACTACCAAATTTTTCATTTCATTCGTTGCCTGCGATGGTTCGAGAACTAGTGTAGTTCTGACGTAATAATTCACCGGGGCTTAGTAAAGAGGTATCACTCTAATTGAATCTATAATATATATATGTAGACGCGAATTACCACGCTCAAGAAAGGTAACAAGTACTTACTTTTGAATTGCCTGACGTTTTCGACCGGCTTGCACTGGCCGTGGTCACAGGCTAAATCACTTAAACATAATTATGTCTTATGGAACGTGATAGTTATCAAAAGTTTGTATTTCAATCTATACTCAACATACTTTTGCTGTAATAGTGCAAAAAAAATATTTAGCAGCAGTATCCTAATAAGCGAAAGTTCAAATTTTTATTCTAAAGTGGGTGTTATTCTTTTCAAGATAAGTGTTTTAGTTTGCTCGTGGGGCAACAGTAAACTTTCAAAGTTACACGTCTGTAAGCCCTGCGTTGGATTTCCCTCAGTAAATTTAGACGCCTCCTCCTTCGAAACTTCAGAATAACTCCATGACTGACGATGGACTACTGGCGTCAGACAGGTCCGTCCTCTGGTGCAGTATCTGTAACGCCTGCCTTGGTTCAATGCACCGTATCTTATGGTTCAGCAGGTTTTCTGCACCCTCTTCTACGGGCTGCTTTGAAAGAAATGCGCGCAGTCGTCGAGCGTCATCGTAGTCCATATTGAGGAGTCTGCACGCTTCTAACAACCTGTTGTACAATATATTATTATTTTTAAATAATACTTAATGTCGTTTTATATCAGCGTTGGGGTTTTTTTGGTACTTAATATGTAGATTCAGGGGTTTTATAATTAAAACTACCCGTTTTTAATCAAGAACGAATTCTAATCTATTTTTTTTAAGGATTTGTTATTTGTAGAAAATTCTCAGAGTAGAAACTATTTATGTACGCAAAATTAGTTTTGTAATACTAATCTTTTAGCTAAATCGCGGCCAAGGACAGACAGATAGGCGAAATACTTACTTCGGCAACACATTGACTTTTGAAGCCACCATCTTGGGCGGGGTGAATGCCGGCACCAGGTTGCGCTTGACATCGTGAGTGAACTGCATCGTACCTCCTGTGTTGAACCAACTCTCCAGAACTATTTCCTGTACAAATTATTAACTGTTTATTTTAAATTAGCTATGGTTATAACTGTTTGTTTATATAGTGTCTTTGGTAGCTTCCAATTTTTATTTATTTTTGGTACATATTTGCCAAACGCTACCAGGGATTTCCTTCCTAGGGTACACCTGGTTTGGTTCCCCGGCTACTGGTACCCGAGGCAACGTGTTTTTTGTCGGTTCGAGTCCGACATAACCACGAGGTGGATGGTATCCGACGGGTCACTTGATGGTAAGTAACTACCGCTGCATCTGCAACTCCAGAGTTGCAAGGACGTTGTCACCCTTTAAGTTCATACCCGAGTAATACTCCGGTAAACGCAGTCACTTGGTGAGAAGCAACGAATTAGTATTCCTTACATTGTGAATGAAAAGCTCCACTAGCTTACAGAAATTAATACGGTAGGTTAGGTTAGTATTGCGACCAACAACGAACCGAACCGAACTGTACGTGTTTAGTATAAACGAGTTTTTCTCGTCATTTTGATGAGGGTGAATTATTTTATATTTGTTTAAGGTGATAAAAATAGTACTCATTATGAATGTAACGAGTAACTTGAATACCTATCAAAACCCAACGCTACAATGGCATGATGAATATTTGACATAATGCGAACTGCATAGATTTGAATGCAGTGCAATCTGTGAACTGGACATTCTGCGAACTGGACATTTCGCGCCTAAACGGTAGCGGTTTTCTGTGCGGTCGACACTACCTATTTATGAAGCATGGCTTTCCTACCGACGGATGGATTTGAATGCAATTTTTAGGCGGTTATTACGCAAGAAATTTCACTTATTGATCGATAAGTAGAATCACACTAATATTATTATATTTTGTTATTTGTTCACGCTCAAATGATTTTGACAAATTTGGTATGGAGATATCTGACACGCTGAATTAAAACATAGGCTACTTTTATCCCAAAAAGGTAGTATTCGGGTGGGTGATGAGCCGCGGGTGTAGTCAATACTACCTCGAAGATGTAGGAGTCGACGATGTCGGCGAGGTGCGCCCTCAGGCGCGCGGCGAGCGGCGGCGCGAGCAGCTGCGCGCACTCGGCGAGGCGCGCGCACAGCGCCGCCAGCGGCCCGCACAGGCTGCTCGACACCGACAGCGCCAGCTTCTCCACGATCAGCAGCCCGTGCCATCTCACGTAACAACATACACTCACGATATAAGGGAAAGTTAAAACTAAGCTTAAGCGAAAATACATTTTTACGTGTAGGTACCTCGCGTGCCAGTCGAATATGACCCGGTTCAGCGTCTGCTCGACAGTGGTTTACATAACGCCGGTTTGCATGAGTCAGGACAGAGTAGAGACACAGTAGTACCATCTTTAAGATAATTTAGATTTCGAAATATCTCTCTTCATCCCGGTCGTTCGGAATTTAAATATCACCTCTATTGAGATCACCTCTATGATCATGGGAGGACACCATTTAACCTTAGACCGATTTGACTAGTGAAGAAAAAAATTGAGTTCTACTCGTCGACTATTGATATCTCTAAAAATGTAACAGCTTGAATGACTTTTAAATGTTATAGACTTTTAAATTCAGTCACTTTCGAGGTGACAGAATAAGACACTTAAAGCAATGCTTTCGCAAATGTTATCATATCTTAGACTAGCTGACCTGCGCAACTTCGTCTGCGTCTCTCAATAGTAATAAATTTTCTTCGTTTTTGAAACATTCTTCATTGGTGCTCCGCTCCTATTGGTCTTAGCGTGATGATATATAGCCTATAGTCTTCCTCGATAAATGGGCTATCTAACACTGAAAGAATTTTTCAAATCGGACCAGTAGTTCCTGAAATTAGCGCGTTCAAACAAACAAACTCTTCAGCTTTATAATATTAGTATAGATTAACCCGGTTTGGCCTTTGGATCATCACATCATATCAACACCCTTTAATAGAAAAAAGGTTTTGGCCTACTATACCATGCGGGCCACACGAATTGATTGTATCAAGCTTTCCTTCTCTTTGCAGTGCTGTTGTAGTGCGTAGTTTTGCTCCCTTAGTCTGTATGAATAGGAGTAGTGACACTCCGTATTCTTAATTCGTCACCACACGGTTGGTCTTGGGATACTTAAGTTAAATTAAATAATAAATTATAATATAATAAATATAAATTGAAATAAGCTGGATGTATTCTTCCTTTCTTAATTTTCTATAGTTAAACCGCCGTAAGCTTGGCCCTCCTGATGGTTTGCGGGACGCGGGGCGGGTGATGCGCTCGGCTATACATGGCACGATGTACTAACTCGATATCTTCAGATTTATTTGTTTGAGATTTAATCTACACACGATGTAATAAAAATCGAATTTATTTCCATGTATTATAATGTCAGTGTATTGTACGTTTTTATGATTAATTATAAAATTTAATACTGTAAAATAATTTTAACAAAATCACCTTATCTTCATCATGTAAATTATATTCAGATACAATTGAAAAATTAAGTAAAATAATAAATATTATTTATTAGAACTTTAACAGGAGAACCTCTATAAGCCGAACTTCAAGTTTTTAAATCTTTATGTGACGCAGAGTCGGCAGATTATCCATGTTGCAAAATAATACCGTGTGTAGCAGTCTTAAGAAAAATAACACGTACAGCCATACTTTCACGTCAGTCACTGCCGGCGGACAGCGACGCACTAGCTAATTGGTTGAATGCACCCCCGCCCAGCGTCCCCCAAACCATCAGGAGGGCTAAGCTTACGGCGGTTTAACTATACCTTCAGAGGTTTTTTTTTCTAATTTATATGTGACTTAAGTAGAATCAGTTCAAAGAGAAACAGAATGATTGACACCTGTTAAAAATGACAAATATATACGTAGTACGACTAGTATTTAATATATTTCGGACCTCTAACACACAACGCCATCTAGTTTTAAACTATGCTTAGTTTCAAACTAGATGGCGTTGTGTGTTAGAGGTAGCTTTCATAGTACAAGCACTGCTGTGCTTGTACTATGAAAGCTAGATTGACTGCTGGAATACTTATATACTTTTTGTAAATACATACATATTATACATAGAAAACACCCAAACTCCGATACAAATATTTGCAGATCATACAAACATTTGATCCGACCGGGTATATTTAATCAAATTAAAAACCTCTTCTTAAATTCGCTTAAAAAGAACTATAGTATGAATGTCGTACTTACTTTTGCCGCTTATAATCTTTAAGTCCTGCTTTAAACTCCAGCAGTATATGGTCAGCCAGCGACGCTAAGCCCTGATCTCTGAGTCGGGCGAGGAGCGCGGGCGCTTCAGCGAACACGCCGGCCTCTTCTGTATCCTCTTCTCCTTTTAACGGCTCCGTTACTGCTAAGTTTGCTATTGGCATTGTCTGAGAACACATAAAAGGTATTCATTGTATCAATAGAAAACTCAAAGAAATGAGAATATTTTAAATGTATTGGATTTTACCACCTGGTTATTTGATATGAAAAATGATCGTAAAATCTACTGTACTGGAACTAATAAGATAAATGAGTTATAATAAGGTCACCACCCCTATTCATCCCGTGGGTGTCATAAGAGCCGACTAAGGGGGCAAACAACGCAGGACAACAGCATTACAAAGAGAAGGAAAACTTGAAACAAACCTTATACCAACCCGTCTGGCCAGCGTAGTATAGTAGGCCAAGACTTCCTTTGTAAGGAGAGGCCTATGTCCAGCAGTGGACTATTATACGCTGTTGATGATGATAATGATGATTAGGAGATATTCTGTGAATTGAGTCTCTTGAATTACATGTGTGCTAATTGAACATAAAAGTGTAAAATCATACAAATATCAAGTTCAAACAAATTTCTGTGCCAATGTGTTCCATTTAAATGAATATACCTAAGACATGTTTAGTCGTAAGCAATGAGTACTTACAGGGTCAAACATATTCATTTCAGCTACTAAAGAATCTCTTCGAGATATCTCATTCAACGCCAATTTCTGAGCACGCCGTTCCACTTCTTGCAATGACAAAGCTTGATCGAAATCATCCTCTGGAAAAGAACTTTAATTAATATACATCTAATCTAATAATCGACGACCGCAAGGCTAGTCAAGTCAAACATGTACCTGAACATTTAATATTTGATTGGATCTGGGTGTTTCTATGTATAACATGTATGTATTTACAAAAAAAAAGTATATCTATGTATTTATATCAATTTTCTAGTACTTATAGTACAAGCTCTGCTTAGCAAAAAAGGAGGCGGCGGAGAGGGCCCGGGAGGACGACCTCCCACGCCGCCGCTCCCTTGGACCCAAATCGAATAGACTAATCGAAATATTCGATTAGTCGATTCGATTCCGACACACCGCCTCGCCGCAAACCCCGGTGTCCACAGGTACTGTGACTGACTGGCGATGGTGTGTCAATTGATACATGTAATAAAACCAAAAAATATTACCTCCTTTAGAAATCCGACTAACGTGTTCAGGCGTTTCCTCACAATCTGAATCGTCATCTGATGAACTGGAGGAGGAGCTGGATTCTTCATCGTGGTGTTGTTGTTGAGTATAATGTTGGAATTGGCGCCGATAGAAATGTAGTTGTAAGTAATGCTACAAAGTAAAAACAAAGTAAATTATTGCAGTGGATTATGTATTAAATTTGTGTAATATATACCGCCTCGCCCTCGCCTCGCATACTACGCAGGACAAAAACACTGCAAAGAGAAGGAAAACTTGACACAAACCCTATACCAACCCGTCTGGCCAGCGTGGTATAGTAGACCAAACCTCCTTTCAAGGAGAGGCCTATGCCCAGCAGTGGACTATCAAAGGCTGTTGATGTGATACCGCCTCGATCACTACTGGATCCTCATATTCGTCGTCATCTGTCTACCCTTTTACAAATCGGCATCAATGCAATATCTAAAAGGTACAAATTTTTGTGGGATGAGCACTATGATTTGTTGTATGTCTGGGTGTTATTTATTTATCACAAGTGAATGTGTTTAGAAATAGATAAGTATGTTTATCAGCAGTCTGGTTACATAGTACAGGCTCTGACTAGTTTAGGATCAGACGGCCGTATTTGAGATGTGTAAGGTGGTTGTTATTATTATTTTATCCACCTGCCATAACATCGATGTCGGACGGGACAAGGTGTGTGTTTATATGTCCGAAATTTATTATTATTACTTAAGGACGAGGAAGGTAGGGCAAGAGGAGGATCTGGCAAGAGGTCTCGGAAGATAGGGACAAATATTAAAATAGGACCATACTATGCTTAGGGGTGATAATCTGGCAATAGGGACCACATCAAAATGAATGGTTTTCTAAATTTAATTATTATTTGCCTCACCAATGAATGAGCCCACTGCAATAGCACAGCACGAGTATGATGTGCAGCGTTGATAACTGCAGTGAGGGGGTGGGACGAGGACCCCGATGATAAGAACGATTCCACGTGAAGAGTTTCTAATGCTGCACTCATCAGCTGTGTCAGACGAATGCGCCATTCTTCCACGAGTTCTAACTGGAGCTCCAAGAATTGTAATCTAGAAACAATGAAATGTCCAATGTTCATTCTTTTGTCTTATGCTGCAAGATTAGCACTAGTAAAAAGAACAATAGAGTTTTGCTTGAATTGGAGCCGCTGAAAGCAATTTGTCTGAAACATCATTTTAGTACGCAACTAAAATTTAATACTGTTTTCTGACATGTTTTTGTCATCAATTTATATATAATTGATTAGATACATGCGAAAATTTAACTAAAAATATAAATAACCATTGCAAACCTGTGCGAAATAAAATAACAATGGTTAAGATATACGCGGGTAGACGGAATGCAGGCATTTCAATTGACTCTATTACAACAAATCAGTGTAAAATGTTATAAACATATACTTAGCGTATTTTCCCTTCTGCAGCTAAATAAATATTTTTTGATACTGCTTGTTATAAAAAGAACAAATGACAGTTACCTGTGTCCAGGCTGAGGCAGAAACGCGTATCTATCCTCAATGGTCCGCAACAACGAGACGAACCAATCGGCGGCGCGCGGCACCCACAGCGCGGCGCCCGTGACCGCGCACGCGCCCGCGCCCACGCCCTCGCACCACTGCGGACTGCCCAGACTTTCATCCATCTTGGCCAGGGCATCTGCTCACAACATGCACTTATAAAACAACTGATTGAAATAAAAAATATACACTAAAGTAAGTATTAAAAAAGAAAATCGTTATTGGAATAAGTACTCTTGTGATTGTAACTGATGTTCTTTTTTAATGTGTGAATATCGCCAGTCAGGCGTCACACTCCTTGCAAACCCCCCACCGCTCTCCGTCCGCTCTTCCAATTTAATAACGAAGTAAATCGTTTTATTTAAAAACGTAATAAACCGTTTTGTTTTTAAGGTATAATTGTTAACGAGCCAATAAATATTTAAACTGTCAATTATATTGTTTTCTTGTCATTCAAATTGATAGCAGTATTATTTTTTTCTTAACAAACACAGCAATGTTAGAACGACAAACTCCTTACATCATAAGTCTTAAAAAATAACTTACACTTTTTCTCTACGCTCAGCCATCTCACGAATGTCTCAGCTTTAGTCAACACAGATAGCACACTATTGCTATCCTTCCCCGTAACTATAACCAGTTCTCTGTGAAAGCCTAACGTTTCGTCTACAGCGTGGGCAAATGCAGCGTCGACGTCGACGATTTCGCCTTTAATTCCGTGTGCGTGGTACAACGCTAGTACAGTATGGAGCCGTTCAGCAGCTAACGCTATAAGGCCGGCATTGAATTCATCCTGTAACACAAGATACACTCTAATCATATGAAAGTTCTAGAAAATCAAATATATATAACAGAATCTATATAAACAGTATATATAAACAGAATATATAAATTGTTTTGGTGTGCATATGTATAAGGTGAGTAGTTATTTTGTCTTTAACAGATTTTAACGTCGCAGATTAACTATATTACTATATTAACAAGAGAACATTATATTATTAAACCAAATGAATACTAAAAATTTATTCTTGAAAGTTTTCACATGTCTTAGACTATTATCGGCACTGAAGACTAAAAATGCCCTAATTTTACATTTTGATACAAATTTTAAATCCAGTTAAGCACTAAGAAGGGCAAAGAGATTTTGAATAATGTTAATAATGTGCCTTAATAAATATTTACCACAGCTCTGACATTCTTCAGTTCGAGTTTGTCAGCTATTGGTTGAATGTTAACCTTCACAAATGTTTGGTGGTCCTTGATCCATGTAAGTGTTTGTGTTAGGAACCATTCCGGTCGATCGATGCGCGCAGTCTGCCGTGAACCAGTGAAGTGAAATTGAAACCTTTTCTTGAGTGGTCTTAATAATATTCTCACTGGTAAACACGGAGGTTTCTCTGTGAGAAAATATCAAGACATCGAGATTAATTTTGAATATATGGCAAAATAATTATCTACGAAATAATATAACGGTAGTTTTCAATTCGACTGAATATATTTTTCGTGTATGTTACGCGATAAAAAAAGGGAAATAAAATTAGAAAATGGCAAATTAAGGGATGTAGAATACCACAGCTGACTACAATTAATATTATTTGAGCGCATTCAAGTCGGTATTGTTTTTAACCATAATCTTTTTAAAAGTAAACTTTGTAAAGTCGGCGTTAAAATTGTAAAATTGCAAAAAAAAACTGCATAAATGTAATCGTCTTCAGATTGGATAAAGGAAAAAGTGAATTAAGAAAACAGAAAACGGATAGAGCGAGATAAAACAATGATAAAATGATATTTATTTCTGCAAGTAAATCTTTTCAGATATTTTTACATGAGAAAGCTAGGATAAGGGATACGGCAAGAATGATGAAACGGGAAAAGACTGCAGAGTGATGGATCGGGACTAAGACTGCGGAAGGATGAAACGGGATTAACAATGCAGAATGATGAAACGGACCTTCGAGCTTAGTCCCGTTTCATCGAAGGAATGAATCCAGAGGAAGAGGGGTCGCGTATTCGGTGGAGTTATCAGGACAGGGACATCAACAGCTGGCCATAGACTGGTGATACTTCTTCAGAAAGTTAATTATTATTTATATATATCAATGACAGCTTTGTTATAAAATTAGATTAAAGTAAGCTTATTAAATCAAGATTTTTTCATCTCAAAAATAAAAGTAATGTAATAATAAAATATAAGTAATGTGTAAATGTAATGTTGTATTACATAAGTAATAACACATACTAAATGTGTATGTTTATAAATAGGGTTTAAACTGATAAAGACTCAATCATAAGACTGACATCTAAGTAATTACATTATTCTGATCTTTCTTGGGCTAGATTTTTTAGGGTTTTGCATTACAATAAAAGTAACTTCATACATTTTTGCCAGTTTACAAATGATCTCTCCTATTCACCCATTTCATAATACCGAATGCTAGTTTTGGTACCAAAAATTAATAATAAAACAAAAACTAAATTAATAATATATGATCATTACCTTGCACAGCTTGATCCAAAACAATAAACGTTTCTATACCTTCTGGTTCTTCAATGAGGAAAAGATATTTTGTTAAGTTGATAAACTTTACCATTACTTCTTTCGGAGGAGGTGAAGGCTCTGGTCCACTTGTAAGTGGCCATTTTATTAATTTCAGAACATCTTCATAGTGCCTATAAAATAAAAGAAAATCTTAGCTATTGACAAGCATTTGGAAACAAATGAAGCTTAATAATTTTGCTTCAATCACCTAACTATGACCTTTAGCATCACATGAGGACTGCTAGAGATTCAATACATTTATAGGTGATAAATGTAATTGAATCTCTAGCAGTCTTTTCTTTAAATACAGCACCAATTTTCTCATTTTTATGCTGGCCTGGCCTTTATACCCTGGTCGGAGGCAATAAGATTGCCCTCTATTTTAAGTATAGGGCTAAATTAAACTTGACAAAAATTCAGTGTATAATATGTCTCTGCCTACCCCATCTGGGTTACAGGTTGAGTATATGTGAAACTAAAACTCTATCATCTTCATCATCATCAACAGCCCCTAATAAGCCACTGCTGGGCATATACCTCTCCTTGGAAAGGAGGTTTTGGCCTACTATACCATGCTGGCCAAACAGGTTGGTATAGGGTTTGTGTCAAATTTTCATTCTTTTCACAGTGCTGTTTTTCTGCATAGGTACCTTAGTCGGCTCTTACCCCACTACGGGATGAACATTCTATATTCTTAATCCATCACCACACGGAGGTAAAAAAACTCTTTGAGTGAGATACAACTTGACTACCTCTACTTACTTCGTAAGCTTTTCTTTGAGCACATTATGCCAATAATGAGTGTAATCCTTCACATATATGGCTTGGTGTTCTTGTAAGGACTGGGAACACATCTTACGGAGCTCCCCATAAAGTAATACCATTTGCTCATCATCATTGGTATGTTTCATTTGCCGACTGAAAGATAATAAACGCTTACCTATGTATACATTATAAACAAAGATTGTATATATTTATAATAAATAAAATAATATTTAAACAAAGATTGTTGCTTCTGTGTGTGTTGATCAATGACTTTAGATTCTACACAAGAGACAATTTCAAATATATATTTCTTTAATGAAATGAAGATATTTTGAGTTTGAAAAAGTAACTTTAAGATTTTTTCAATGATTTTTAGCAACTCCAAAGATAAGATAGTTATGAATTTGACTTTTAAATTGAAATAATGTACAATAAAGCTTTGAATTTTTACCTTTAATGGGATGAAAAATACAAGCTTATTACAATTTTTTATAATGATTTAGGTTTTTCTTTTTTAAGTTAATAAGGTTACACAACAGATTCTAATTTGATAATTATGTTAATTGTTCAACATAGCTGTACTATTAAGAATTTTTGGTTGTGATCCATAAATATTTATACATTAAAACGTTATGAGAAATTTGTATAATGTTGCCTTAATTCATAATTACATATCTATACAAATATTATAAAGGTGAAGTGATTGTTTGTTTGGTTGAACATTGCAAATGTCAGAAACTACTGGTTTGAATTGAACATTTATTGAGGAAGGCTATAGGCTATAACCAATAGGAGCCAAGCAAAACTGAAAAATGTTGCAATAACGGGACAAATTAATTCCTTTTGAGGGATGCAGACTAATTTGTCAGCTGGTACAGATTTACATAGGATTAAAAGGGAAAATCATTATTAGGCTATCTTGTTGAGTTCTAATTAATCTTTAACTTTCCAATGCGAACTTACCTCAGGTCATCGATCTTCTCAAATGTTCTTAAATAAGTCAAAACCTGTTCTAATTTATTGATAGCCCCAAACCTTTTATCTACCTCATTTTTCAAAGGTTCAATCTTTTTTAGAAAAGCTTCTACTTTAGCTTTCAGCTCCTCACTTTGTGTTTCAAGATTGCCTATCTGCTTTGAATTTAATTCTGCTTTAGCTAAGGCTGTTGTCAGTTTTGTTGGCACTTCATTATTGACAATATTTAGCTAGAATTGAAACCGCAATAATTAGTGTGGTAGTTGGACACAATAATCAAGTGAGAACATTTGTAATGTATAATCTTATAAATAATGCATGTACTCATTTACTAATTAAAAGCCAACTCAAACTAAGCAGCGAAATAAAGGACTTAGTATATACTATTTGCATACAAATCTTTTTTTTTTAATGGAATAAGCACTCACGTTTATCCGTACAGTTTGAGCTTATGCGAAATTATTTAAAATATTAAAATTTAAAGCCTTATAAAATAAAAGGTTTGAAATGTATTAATTAAATTGGTAAAAGAACTTTAAAACTATTTAAGTTAATATATACTATTAAGTTTCAGTCAAGTGTACTTGTAATACTTACGCTGCTTTGTAGTTGCTCCCTTTTATTAACTAATTCAGTTTCTATTGTATATGCGTTTCCTAACTCATTTATATCACCCCCAATCCTCAAATTAAGGCTTTGGATAATACTCCTTTTATCCTCTTCATTCATACTTAAAGTTTACTAATATGCTATGGGATAGCTGACATGGGGTTTAATTTAAATTCTTACGTTTTATTATTGAACATAACTTAAACATTTCGTATACCCACGTAGCAGCGATCAATAAATATCACACTTTAGTTGACTGACAGTGACACTGATTGACGTGAAGACATTGACATCAGACACACAGTTCGTAAATAAGAAAATAAATGGTTTCTGTAAAATATTACCAACCCACATTTATGAAACCAACCCATCAAGGAGAGGCCTATATCCAGCAGTAACTAATAACCTATGCTTATGATGAGAAACTGAGATGGAAAACTTGAAACAAACCCTATACCAACCCGTCTGGCCAGCGTGGTATAGTAGGCCAAAAACCTCCTTTCTAAGGAGAGGCCTATGTCCAGCAGTGGACTAGTATAGGCTGTTGATGTGATGATGTGATGATGATGAGAGAGAATAATTTGATAGTAAAATATTAAATTTTACGATATAATGCTTTTTCTTTTAGAACTAATAGTAAATAATTGCATATTATTAGTTCAGCTAGCTACAAAAGTGTGATTTTTTAACCATAATTTATTTTTTAATTTAAAATTAATATGAAGTAAAAGTTGTCGATTGTCAGTGTGGTAACGGATTAAGAGCGTTGTAAGAGCCGACTAAGGGAGCCAACTAAGGAGGACAACAGCAAGAGATGGAAAACTTAAAACAAACTTTTTACCAACTATAGATGTAAAAAAGACCGATTTAAAACGTTTTAAACAAAATGTTGCCGTTTTAAACCCTAAAATAATCTCAAATATGATCTAAAATATTAATTTTAATGATATGCTGTGAAGAGCAACTTTAATCTAGATTAAATGCACAACATATCTAACGTATTTAATTAGATAAAGAATAATAATGTATTCTTTAAAATAGCTCCTCGGGCGATATTTTAGTCTATCTTTTTTTTCTCTATGTTTTTTTGACATTGAAGAAAACTGCATTACAAACCGTAGCTTAGTTTAAAAGATCTAAGCGTACAATACGAAAAATGAAGGAGACAACGTTATGTCTTTAAGGCCGTCGCGTCAATTAGGGTGTGAGATCGGTTTTAAATTGAAACATATTGATTATTTATATTGCTCGAAACAATTAAATTACATGCCTTACATCTATAATACCAACACATCTGGCCAGCGTGGTTTAGTAGGCCTAAGCTTCTAAGGAGAGGCCTATATCCAGTAGTGAACTACTAAATGCTGTTGATGATGATGATGATGAGAAGTTGTCGAAAAGGAATTAAACATCATGAACAAGATTGAAAATAGTCAAAGAAAGAATCTAAATCTTTACAATTCGAATATTTACTAACAAAATTCGCCTAAGTCGAATATCTCGTATCTAGTCGAAGAATTTTTAAAGTTGGTACACTTACTCAAGTACACTTTTATTTAAAGAATATAACTAATAAAATGTGCTCAAGTGTTGAATCTTTAACAGAAGAAGGTCTTTACATCAACGACGAAACAACTGATATATTGCTGTTAGAACAATTTACGTCAACTCAAGAAGATCAAGAAGAAGAACAAGAGCGAGAAGAGGAAGAAAAAGTTAAATGAGACAGAAAGAGCGTTTAGTAGGCCTACTGGGGAAAAAACGCTATAAGTACACTACCTCATAGGTGGCGTGGAAACGGGTACATATTAAAGGGAATACAGCTTCAGTAAATTTTAGAATAGCTTTTTCTCAAAAATTGAGAATCTTAGGGCAAAAGTGTAAAGATAATTTTCTAGATGCAGATAGCATGGTCAACATTTTTGTCTGCGTTTCGCTAAATAATAAAAAAAAACATTTTTGCGAACTTTGACCTTGCATAAATTTTTTTGCACACATGTGATCGATGGGGACTTTTCACAATTTTGTGATAATGGTATACCTAACATTTATGGAAAAATTTAGCTTCTTGGGAGTTTATGCAATGGTATCCCTATTTTTCTGACTAACTTAACCGGACTACTGCTACAGATAATAAAGTCAGACTAGTCAGCTAGGCTAACTAGGGAGCGAATTGTATATTCCTCTGGAAGTGGTAGCGGCTGTTAGACAGAGAAAGAATATTTTGGTCTTGCGTATCTCTCTCTCTCTCTCCTCTCTGCAGTGATTGGCTGACACTGAAAAGGACATTTAAAATAGCCAATCAGTGACAAGGGCAGAGAGAGATGCAAGACCAAAACAATATTGCTCTCTCTACGAGCCGTAGAGATGGCGCCTTGTTCGCTTCCTCTACATTCTTGTTCTTCTTCTTCATAAATGGCAAACTGTGCCGATGCCGATGCAATTCTGCCAGTGTCAAGTGCGATGGAAATACGTGGGTTTTATTTCACAAAAAAATGAATTGATAACATTAGTAGTGGACTGAATGTTGGGCTTTTTGTGGTGGTTAGTAGTTACACTGAAACAAGCAGACAAGTACAAATAGATAAGATATGTATTAAATAAATAAATAGGTATTTATTTATTTCAAAGTCAAAGTCAGGTCAAAGTCTGATGTCATTGGATCGGATGAACAACATCAAGACCTGGAGAAGGTGGGGGGCTGAAAATGTTAGGAGAGATGAAAAGTTAATAGGGATGGGGATTTTTAATTCGGTAAGGTGAGAATAGAGATCTAGGGCTGGGATATTTTTAGGACAACTGAAGAATATGAGATCTAGATTGCCTTCATCTAAGCCACATATGGACAAATCCCGTACCCAAATCTTGTTTAGGAACACTGGTGAGCTGCAGTGACCTATGCGGAGCCTACATATGGTGGAGATGACAGGTTTACATACCTTCTTAAATTTATAGAACCAGGGTTTTGGGGTAATGCTTGGTTGGATTGCGTAGTAGTGACGCCCTTTATGCTGTGAGGAATTATTCCACTCTACCTGCCAGGATGTTAACAATTCTCTCTGAGGCAGTCTTAAGAGATCGTAATACTGGTGTGCAAGGTGTTGCTGGTCCGACATTGCAGAAGTAGCAGCACTTTTGGCCAGTGAGTCTGCACACTCATTGCCCACAATGCCACTATGGCTGGGGACCCATACCAGTTGAACCATTTTCGAGTTGATGGAACAATTCAAAAGGTTTTTTTTTTTATTTCCAGGATCAGCGGACTGTGAAGTTTGCTACGAAAGGGATGCAGGGCTTTAAGGCAACTAAGGGAATCAGTGAATATGACTGCCTTGTGGATGTTGTGCGAGTCAATGTACAAGCATGCCTCTAAAATAGCAACACACTCACATGGCCTGTAAAAACTGAAGCCTCTTTTGGACACTTATACTGTAAGAGAATTCTGGAGTTTTGGAAGTACACAGCGGCTCCAGTGTAGCTATCATTATTCAGTTTGGATGCATCAGTAAAGAACCTCTCAAACCCATCCCAGTGTTCAGCTAAGTGTGTATTAAAGGTGGAAACAGAAGAGGCAGTTTTCTTAGGGATGCCAACATCGGAAGAATATTCGGCTTAAAACAAAGGACGCTATAATTAAAGGAAAACAAAGGGAGTTTGTCAAATGACACGGCAGAGTTAAAAAAAGTAGAATAGTAGCGAAAGGATTGTAGAATCAATGGAATTCCCTTATGAGTCCAGTAATTTGAGGTAGTACAAATGGAGTCTAATTCTAAAATTTTTGGAAGAAGAGGATGAGAAGATTTACAAACAGATTTTGTTATAAAACGTGAAGCGAGAAATTGTGTTCTTATTGATAAAGGTAGATCTGAACATTCCACTTGTAAGGCTTATAGGGGAGGACTTCATGCAACCAGTAACAATGCGAAGGCACCCAGATTTATTGCATGGAATCAGTAATAATAGACCATAGTCCAATATACTGCGTACTAAGGCACTATATACCAGTTTCATGGTGTATGGGTGGGCTCCCCACCAGACCCCAGCTAGGGCCTTTAAAATTGGGATTACACGTTAACATTTTGCGGTTAAATGGTTAATTTAGAGTCAAGATATACTCCTAGGAACTTAAATTTGTTCAATAAAGGAATTTCCTGCAGCTGCACATGGACATCAATCTGTGGCAGAGTCTTCTTTCTTGTAAAAATAACAACCGCACTTTTCTGAGCAGAAAGACTAAGGCCATGATCTAATAGCCACTGCCACAGAGAATTAAGGGAAATAGTGAGTGATGTGGCTGCCTCTTGGATGGAATGGTTCGAAACATATAATGCCAGATTGTCGGCATATTGAAGGATGCTACAATCATTGTTTAGGCATGAGCCCATGTCGGCAGTATATAGATTGTATAACAACGGACTCAGTACTGAGCCCTGTGGTAAGCCCCTCCAGGTCTTTCTTTGGCCAGACTCTTCAATTAAGATCCTTAGGACTAGAGTTCTGGACACAAGCATTACGCATATGCAGTGGATCATCTTAACCGGAATTCTCAGCTGATGCAGTTTCTGCCTGAGAATGGGTATTAAGACATTGTCATATGCAGCAGATATGTCGAGAAAAGATGTTACAACAGATGCATTTTGTGACAGAGAAAGACGGATATCAGTTATTAAAACTGCAACACTGTCCATTGTACTGAGCCCTTTGCGAAAGCCAAACTGATAGTTTGGCAGTAAATTCCTTGACTCTACAATCTATTCGAGACCGTTTTTGATGAGATGTTCTAATAATTTAATAAGGACTGATGAGTGGGCGATTGGCCTAAAGCTGTTTGGATCACCAGCATGTTTTCCTGGTTTTAGAATGGGGATAATAATTTGAACTTACCATGTATCTGGGATCCAACCGTTAGAATAACAGAAATTCAAAATGTTTAAAAAGTAAGTTTTTGTACTAGGCTTGGCTGAACTATGAAAGAATATGGAATGCCATCTATGCCAGGAGCCGAGTCTCGCACACTGTTGAGGACCATGTTCAGTTCTTCTAGAGAGAATGGGTCGTCATGGGTATCCACTGACTGAAACGGTAAGTCTGGTACTCAATACTCAATACTCAATACTTTATTGCTTCCACAATGTAAATGCATAGGTGATATCAATTTAAATATAGTAACAATTATGGACCCTGACGGGCGCAGCACACTTTGTTTGGGAGAGAGGAAATAATATTTTAATTATTACTAGCTGATCCGGCAAACGTTGTATTGCAACAAAAAAAAAATTAGGGATGGGTCACCCTTACCATTCAAAATTGTGAATCTAAACCATTCCCAGATCCCCTTGAACACACACAAAAAATTTCATCAAAATCGGTAAAGTCGTTTGAGAGAAGTTCAGTGACATACACACTCACAGAAGAATTATATATATAAAGATTTATCATAAGAGTTGTATAATTTATGAATTTTATTATTTTAGTATTCTATCTTCAAAATACTCTCTAATGCTGTAGTAGCTTTTACTTACAAGAAAGAGTTTTAATTTTTTTGTGAAACTGTTATATTTATTTTCTTGTTTTATGGTTTTAGGTAACTGATTGTATATTTTGACGGACATTACAAATGGGCTGTATGAGTGCATTTTGAGTCGGGAAGCTGGTAAATTAAGTCTATCTTTGTGTCTAAGCGTCATTTTGGTTTGTATGTCCTCTCTTTTGCTGTAGAACTCTGGGTGTTGTCTAACGAATTTACAGGTTTCCAATATATAGATACTGGGTAAGGTTAAAATTTTAAGTTCGACGAAGTGAGGTTGGCAGCTGTCTGTGTCTTCTATGTTTACTAGGATTCTAACTAGTTTTTTCTGTAAAGTGAATAGTGTAGGTGCATCTGTACTATTGCCCTACAGGATTATTCCGTATGTGAACCACGCGTAGACATATGAATAGTAGGTAGCAAGTGCTGTTTTAAGGTCTGTAGTTTTTTTTATTTCTCGGAGGGCGTAAGTAAATTTTGAAATTTTGGCTTGTATTCTTCGAATGTGTGATTTCCAATCAATATGTCTGTCTACATCAATGCCCAATAGTGTGAATTTATTTACTACTTCTAAGTTTATGTTGTTGAAGGTGTAATTTACGTTTATTGGTGTTTTCTGATGTGGGTGGAATTTAACTATTTTTGTTTTGTTGAAATTAATTTCTAGATTGTGTTCTGTCATCCAGTCAGTTGTAGCAGTAAGTATAGAATTTAACTTATCATTAAGGTTATTGTTATTTTCGCATGAAGTGAGTATTGATATGTCGTCTGCAAACAAAACACATGGTTGATATATATTTTTTGGGAGATCGTTTATATATATAAGGAAGAGTAGACACCCCAATACACTTCCCTGTGGAATAGAGGCGTTAATTAGCTTGTAATCTGATCGGATTAATTCTATTTCATTTGTCTTGTGGTTATAAAATTCTATTTCTACTAGTTGTTCCCTATCCTTTAAATATGATGTAAACCATTGCAGGCATTTACCACGGATTCCTACACTATTTAATTTGTTTAATAATATATCAAATTGTACCTTACCTTGGTAAGGTCGCTTCATCGAGTTGAGGGACATACGGGGGGGCAATTCTGTCCAGGAAAAGCTCAGCTGTATTGGGGGAGATAGAGGAAGAGACAGAGGGCGAACAACCAGATCGGAACCGATTTATGTTCTTCCACACCATTGAGGATGGGGTGGATGGGGACAAGGAGGAACAAAATTTAACCCAACCGGCGCGCTTCTTGCGTCGAAGGAGTTTTTTGTTAGAGGCGAAAACGTTTTGGTAGGTGAGTAAATTATGGATGGTCATATCAGCATTGTATCTCCTTTCGGACTCCTTCCTATACTTGACTGCCCTAGTACATTCACTGTCCCACCAAGGAGGTGACGGAATTTTGCCTTTGCTTGAGTTTTTAATTTTGAAGGAACTGTCTGCACTTGATCTGATCGCCTCTACGAATGCGCCACAACAGTCCATCACGAGGTAACGATCATCATGGGTTAAGGGTCTAAGGGCTTGTCTGGGGAGAGCATTAACAGAGTTTTCGAGGGTTTGGGAGAAATTTTTGCCAGTCAGCTTCTGAAAGGATATATTTTAAAAGAGGGGGGGGGGGATTTTACCAAGTGGGTTGAAGTTGGGAGGGATACTAAAATTGGATAATGATCACTACCATGCGACAGATCGATACACTGCCAGCTAGCAGCTGCGGCGATGTCCAGTGAGCAAATAGTCAAATCCACACAGCTTCTATTTTGACCAGGAAGAACTCTATGAGTGTAACAGCCACTGTTAAGTACGCAGAGGCTCAGATCATCGAGGATCTCTACTAAATCTGAACCGAAAGAGTCGCAGTGTTCAGATCCCCATCTATAGTGATGCTATAGTGATCCCTGTAGATCCTGTAAAATGGTTCTCAATGTAGGCAGGTAACTTTGATGGGGGTGAGCGATATGGATAGAGAGCACAGATATGTTACAGATCTTAGCTGCAACCACGCTGATATCCTCAAGAAATGGGGCAAGGATAGGGGGACTAAGGGGATTTTAGTATTAATAAGGAGGGCAGCACCTCCATAGCCATCAGGCCTATCACATCTAAGTATATTGAAATGGGGGACATGGAAGTTGAGACTTGGTAAAAGCCAGGTCTCAGCGAGAGAAAAAGCCAGAGGCTTGAATTTGTTCAACAGGAATATGAGGTCGTGTTTTTATGGAATACACTCCTCACATTCCATTGTAGGAATACTTTGTGGGACGCCATTTTTGAAATTTGTTAAGATATTAATGAGTGAGACAGCAACGTTGGACGGTATAATAGACTGGGATAGAAATGAATTGGGGGATAGTAGGGAGGTTAAGAGTTGTATAAGGAGATCAATAGTTGAGGATTTAAGGGATGGGTTATTCATAGCACAACCATTGAGTAATGGATTGGTGTGCGACTTTATCGTAGGAGTGTGAGAGTGGGGATCGAGGTTTAGGTTGGCGAACCACAGTTTTTTTTTAGGACTGGGTGTGCTGGAGGGATTGGGTAGGCTGAGTGGATTGAGAAGGTTGAGGGAGTTGGTTGAGTTGTGGAGCTTTCAGGATGTCAGCGTATCTGCGTGTTGGAGAGGGAACAACCTTGCTTGCTTCGATGTAGGATATGTTCCTTTTCGCCATCATGGTCTTAATAGCTCTCTGTCTACCATACTCCGGGCAAGCCCTGCTATAAGCAAAGTGGTCACCGGAGCACAGCACACAAAAGGCCTCTCTTTCTGATACCTCACAACCATTACCAGAATGTTCGTGGCCACACTTGCTGCGTCTTGGTTTGGACCTGCAGATGGACTCCACATGGCCAAACCTGCAGCATTTCCTACACTGTACGGTTGGGTAAATATATTGTTGAACAGGAAGCGAGTTGTAACAACAGTATACTCTTTAATTATTGGGCCTGACTTTAATTATTGGGCCACAACCCTGCGGCACTGTTACAAATTTAATGACATCCTCATCATCCATGTCGGTGGGGATGCCTGATACTACACCCATTCTAGTAATGTTAAAGGAGGGGATGATGGCAGTGTATTTATGTGTATTTAGTAAGGGGTTTATTAAAAATGAGTTGGCATCCTGAGGGGATACAAACTGTACTGACACCCTATTACGACCTACTTTTTTGACTCCATCTCTAACCACATTGTTAATTTTATTTTTGAAGAGGAAAACACCAAAAGAGACAGGGTGGAGAGTTGCGCCAGAACCCAATTGGGTCTCCACGCGGGAAACATGAACAATGTAGGGACCAGTATCATTTATCGTGTACTTGTCACGACGAAGCGGGCTTCTTATTTGATTAGGGTTACGTTTAAGAGGGTGGGTACTTACATCATCGTTCACATGTCGTTTACGTGAGTTTGTAGCGAGAGGGCAATTATCTTGGACCGCTGCATTGCAGATCACATTGGCAAACTGTTCTAAGGGGTTGGAAGGGGTTGAGGGTTGATCGGGTAGGGAAGGAGTAGGGGTGAAAGGAGGGGTTACTGGATATGGAAAATCGGGAGGGTCGGGCGGTTTATTTCCGTTCATGTTAATTACTTACCGGTAATGTTTAGTTACAAACAACACACCGTAACCATTAGGACAGCACAAAATTACACAAAATGAAAGACCCAATAGTCACAAAATCACACAAGATTTGTAAGAATTCTAGACGCACGTGCTAATCAAACGGACGACGACAGAATCCATCTTCCTCTACATTAATAAGCTCTTTGTATGTACGTTAGTGTTCTCTTAAGCTGTCAATGTCAAAAATTTACGTGATAACTCTGATTTGTCGTCGCACATCGCTTTAATAGCAAACAGCAGTCAGAATCAGTTTACGAAAAATATGTGGGGATTTATTGCGAAAAACAAAAATGATATTATCTATTTATCTTTACTTTTATTTAGTATAGTTATCGGACCCTATTACAGAAAACTGAAAACAGTTGAAACTAAGAAATGGGCCGGTACTATACTTGGTATTATGCTTATAGTTATGGTATCGGGATATAGTGCGGCTCATCCCATATTTTCGGCGATATTTGGTATAACAGCTATAAAGGTGGCCACGGTAAAGTAAGTTAGTTTTTTATAATTGAAACGGCAAAGTATAAAATCATTTCAATAGTACAATAAATTAACAGACTTTTATAAACACTTAAAAATTAGCCATTACTTGACTTTATTATTTTAAGTAGGTAATCGATAAAGTAGTAAAGTTTATGTTAATGGCATATAAAAACGAATTCATCTACTTAGTTAATCATGTAATAAACACACATTTTTAATTTGTTATTTTTTTTAATAACTTCTGTTTTTTTAAAAACAGACCTCTTATAAAATTATAACATCAAAAAGGTATTATTGTCATCATGTCTTGTAAACCTTAGCAAGAAAATAGAAACACTATGAACTTAAAAAGAGTTTGTTTATATGTTGTGATTTGCTTAAAGGGTCACTAATGCTCTGTGTCCGACTAGGCTTTCACTTAATATTGTATATAATTATAAATGCAGGGATTATTCATCCCGTAGATGACGTAAGAACCGACTAAGGGAGCAAATTACGCAGGACAACAGCACTACAAAAAGAAGGAAAACTTGACACAAACCCTATACCAACCCGTCTGGCCTCGCGAGTTCAATTGTTTTTTCCATCTCAAAAATGCCCAAGCGCCTAAAGATGTTTTCACTTCAACAGAGGTGTCGGTAACGGTAACAGTGTTGCAAATGCTATAGAAGGCCAAAACCTCTTTTCTAAGGAGAGGCCTATGTCCAGCAGTGGACTATTAAAGGCATTGGATGTTATGTGATTATTAACACAATCAACACACCTTAGATATCTCTGAATTGCTTAAGATTTTTTGACTTACTGTGGTTGGTTAGTTAGCAGGTCTCACTTACCAGAGGCAATGTAATCTATTATGCATGTAATCATTTTAATTCCTAAATTAACAATATTCTATAATATTGTTTAATTGGTATAAATATTTCTATTTTTTTAAATTTCAGACGCTGTCATGTGGTAACATTCTTTTTCATGTTTGGATATCTATTTGTGTTTCGGCTATCAAACACTTTAAAGTTACCACCTTCCTCTGGACACACAAATTTGATTGAGATGATAATTGTCTTAAGAGTGGTCGGTGTAGCATTTGAAATCAATGGATCCTGGTTGTCTGCAGCCAGAGCTAAGAAAGAGGAAAATAAAAATGAACAAAGAGATCCCAACGAAAAAGATGCTGATTTCATGGAAATAATTGACCCGGATTTTATTGATCTCCTGCATTATTCTTTCAACTATTGCGGACTATTAACAGGTATAGTTATTGGTATTGGTATTGTTTTGAAACTATTATGAGATATAAGTCTCAAAATTTGTACAGCTTCCATTGTATGTATTTGTATGACGTTTTTTATGGTCATGATTTTAATTGAACTTGACTAACAACAATGCCAAAATTAAAAACCTGTTCTAAAGTTAAGCAACTTAGTTTGGTTGGCTGTTTACATTTAGCTTCTTAAGTGTTTAGCATGCTTATAACATGATAATTATTATTTCATTTTTAAATCCACTTATGTTCAATTTACAAAACAATTGCCAAACCACGAAAACCTCTCAAGGTTAATCTATTTAATATACAAATGCCAAAGCATCACTTGTACGTACATAGTTGTGTAAAATATTCAAACTTGAACTTATTAAATAGCTTCTGACTATGAAACCATATCCCAAAATTGTTCCATTTTAATATAGTTATATTTATGACCCGCCAATCTCACTTAGTTTCGACTGTGGGTATGGTTCAGTGTTATAGTCTGATACATATAATCTGCCTCAATAACTACTCCATGCGATATAAGAAGAATAGTTCAAATCAGGCTAATAATTCCAGAGATAAGCATTAATGTTATACAAAACAAAAAAATCTACAACTTGATTGTATTTTTATTAATATTAATAAATAATATATTTTTCAGGACCATATTACAGATACAGAACTTTTGATGACTACTTTCACTTACCATTCAGCAAGCATGTTAACTGTTTTGCATTTACTATTAACACATTGAAGATAGTTCCCCTATATATTTCACTTTACTTGGCTTTTTCTAACATCTGGCCCCTGGAGGTGAGAGAGCTTTTATTTGTTTCTCAATTATTCAAACTATAAACTCTTACCTTATATAAGTTCCTATGGTAACGGATTAAGAATACAGAGTGTCACCACCCACATTCGTCCCATGGGTGTCATAAGAGCCGACTAAGGGAACAAACTACGAAGGGCAACATCACTACAAAGAGAAGAAAAACCTGATACCAACCCGTCTGGTCACCGTGGTATAGTAGGGCCAAAACCTCCTTGAGAGAACCATGTCCATCAGTGGACTGCTAAGGGCTGTTGATGATGATGATGAAGAGTGGTTAAATATATGTTACTTCCTAAGCTCCCAAACCAAATAAAGTTAATATAAATGAATTATTTATTATAAATGCAGCCATCAATTATTTTAATGGAAGTGTAGATTAATTTCCCAACTTTAAGAGATCTATTTATTTTTTATAGAGGCATAAGCAATTTCGTACATAGACCTCATCCCTCTAGTAATTCATTGCACATTTATCATGTTCTGTAAATGATTCTAGATAACACATGAATGTTTTATGATTTGTAATTTTTTTACTTGTCTCTTTGCAGTACGTGTTAACTGAAGAACACAACAACCGGCATTTTGTGTACCGAATGTTGTATCCATGGGCATTGTTTGCGGCGTTTAGACAGCGCATCTATTCTGGCTTGACACTGGCTGAAAGTGTATGCACTTCAGCAGGGCTAGGAGCTTACCCAGTGCAAGGAAAAAATAGAACTGGACATGGTCCTACTGTTGGATATATGAAGTTGAAACAGATGTTAGTAACTTTATTGCATACTACTTGTGATAGAAATTGAGACTGTTGCCCTCAATCTCAATTTAAAAATGTTTCTAAATCTTAGAATAACAAACACAGTGCACAATTGACAATGATCCGGCACATTCACATGTTTGAAATATGTGCTCATATTATAATTTCTGCAATAGGAGCTTCTTGATTGAGAAAGTTTATAAAGCATTAGTAACTTTTTATACTTTGGATGCTTGTTTGCCTCCTCAGTATTATTTAATTACAGAATTCTAATTATATTGATATATGGTTTTTAATTTTACAGGTCTGAGCAAGACGCTAAAAAAGCTCAATATGACTTCATCACTGTAGAATCAATGGACGTATGGGGATGTGAAACTGTGGTCACCTTGCGAGATTCCATGAAAGTGTGGAATAAAGCTGTCCAGTACTGGGTTGCCATGGTTGTCTATAAACGATTCCCTATTAAGCCTCTAAAGTAAGTCATAATTCGAATCCATCTTTCGTATTTTTTAATAAAACCATCTCATTATAAAACTGGATGTCTGAAAACATCAGAAAAAAATTAAATTGAATCTTTGAAATGTGTAAAAACATTGTAGAATGTACTTTAAAAATGTGCACACAACAACAACAAGTTTTCAGAAGATAAAAACAAAATTCACTTATTTAACTTATAGTTGACAATTTATACCGTTCCAATAAAATTACTGGCCTTTACTGACAACAGCAGACACTAATCGTAAGTTTTTTTGAACTAACATAAAACCGGCTCAGTTGTTCATGATAACTTTAGGTGCAGAATCACATACTAACTAGAACAATGCACCAATCACCAACAACATTTCAAAATCTTAAAATAATTATTCGGAAATTTACTAATGTGCACACTCTATTATGCAGAATATAACGCAAAGGACTTTTTCTACTAGGCTACATCATAACAATTTAATTTTGTACCTACGCTGTATAAAATACACGAGTATCTTTATCTCTCTAGCCTATCCTAAACAACATCTGATAATATTTGTTCTAGAATGCATGCAGCATTATTCGTATCAGTGATCTGGCACGGGTACCACGCTGGCTATTTTTTCTGCATATACGCATGCCCCTTTTATGTGATGGCCGAAGATATATACTACAAGCTTTACTATAAAGATGCAACTGGCATGGTAAGTAAAAAGTTAATTACACTCTGTTCATAGATTCTTTTAACTTTTAATCAATCAATCATTTGTATACATGTACTTTTTGGTAACATCTTAGTTTTGTAAGAATGCTAACAAAAGTATATGTACCTAATTGTTTAATTATTATTAGTTATCTTATTTTTACCTAGACACTGATGACTCCTTAATTATGTGCTTAATTTCTTATTATAATATTTTAAATTCTTATTTCAGAAAAAGAAAATCATTGGCTTCATAATGTGGTTCCTGCGCTCCCATTCGGAATCATACCAAGCGGCCGCTTTCCTCCTACTTACGTTTGACCGTATTTGGGTGTACTATTCATCTGTTTACCACTACTGGTATGGGTGCTGGCTGGCATTTTTCATTATAGGCCTTGCATTAGAGCAAATACACATGAATCGGCCACAAACCTCTAGGAATGAGAACAGACCGCTAGTTTCAAGCAATTAGTTTCGTAAGATTACGATCTCAATTTGTGAGAGTGTAGCTCAATTACTAAGTGATCATTGTAGAACAGGAACGAGGGTACATACATAATAGCATTATGATTGCGCGATATTTATTGTACTAAAGGTTAAAAGTTGGATTGAGGCGCGCAAAGAGTCCCAGGATTTTGTATGAATTATTGGTCACAGTATTTATTGTTTTTAGTGCTTTTGCAAATTATGTGTTTGAGAGCAGTAATTTTGAAGGCTACCTATAAATACTCTTGATATTAACAAAAGGAAAATGTGGAGTCAGGTGTTTTGATTTTCAGTTAAGGATGAAAGGCAAATATACAAAGCACATAAATCCTTAAAATCTAAGAACTTTAAAAGTTTTGAATTGATTAGTAAAGGGTTAAGCAAAAGTTTTCAGTGAGCCTAACCCAATCTAGAAGCTTTCATACAAGTTGTTATACAGGATACAGGATGAACTGGAAAAGTGCTGCATAATTCACTGAAATATCACATTTAAACAAATGTTGTACATTTGTTGTATACTACTTAATTTAACATCTAATTCTACTGTTTAAGATATAGACAATTAATCCTTGCTTGCCCCTCAGAATCCTATGGTAGCCTTCATCTGACAGTAACACTGAGGCTTTTTTGTAGAATGATAGCAACGTAATTGTCTTAAATTCACAATACGTGTACTGTTATACATTTAGGTTATTTATTATAGACAATAATTTTTAGTTAATTAGTTGGGTATTATTTTTAGAGATTTTAAATCATGATAATCTATAACATATACATAATATTTTATTGAAGATTTTGATTCAGTAAAAATCTATTGTCAATTGAATAAAACAAAAAGTATAATTTTTCTAAGTCACTATTTGGATGATCTTATACATTTATTAAATTTGTTTCGTTTACAATGTATTGAAATCGGTTAAAACTGGGTGTATTTTAAGTGTATTGTAACTTTAAGTAGACGTAGGTATTTATAAAATACATAACATTCCAATAGTTGGGAATGGGTAATTTGTAGAACTTTATACCAAGAATAAAGGCCATATTTAAAATTCGAATTATTTTTCATTACAGCTACTGCCTACTACTTAATCCCTACTGCTTACAATTAGAACTTGTAGGTAACAATTTTTAAAATTAGGTTTTAAAAATAATAATAAAAGGCTAAAATTCGTGTCATTTGTTTGTGTTGGTAAATAAAATTTCATTTAATTTCGTTTTTGTTAATCAACTAATTTGATTTCAAGTATCTTGGCTCCCTCTTACAACATTGTAAGATTGATCGTACTGTACAGCATCGAATCAATACGGGATGGATGAAGTAGCGGCAGGTAACGCTAACAATTTGTGACCCCAGTTTCCCCTTAACACTGAAGGGACAAAGGAGGTGGGTTGATAAGGACCATTTTTCGCCCATCACACACTCCAAAAAAAATTACCGATTTCAGAATAGTTTTAAACACCTTTGTATAGTTGAAGATATTTACTTTTTTGTTTTCTATAATTTACGTAATAAATAATATAGTAAGTCATAGAAATTCTTTCTCAAAATGAGTGTTTCGCCTTTTTTATGCGTTTGTGTCGTATTTTTTCTTCTTATAATTATATTTTTTAATGAAGCGTTCCATGAACCACATTGACTTTATTTTAAACGGTTAGTACTCTTAATAAGCTTGTATCTGAGTACTATTTAATCTTGGTTCATCGTGCGCTTCTACACAATATGGATAAATATAAGTCACACGACGGTATGCGAGTGACACAGTGCGCAGTGATCGGAACAGGTTCAGACGTGTTTTGTTTCGCCCAAAAAGAATTTACGTATCGTAAATATTAAAATTATTTTCTTAAACTGTTATTAGGTACGTGTGTTCTTGAAAAACTTTGATAATAATGCCTGGAAGCCAGTGTGATTGTTGTAAAATATGGAGAAAAACAAATAGCGTTCCGTAATATTATTTATTACGTAAATTACAGAAAACAAAAAAGTATATAAGTATATTCAACAATACAAAGGTGTTTAAAAGTATTCTGAAATCGGTAAAAAGATAAACGAGTGTGTGATGGGCGAAAAATGGTTTTTATCAACCCACCTCCTTTATAAAACTATCATCAGACCCGCCGTCCTGTAATATTTTGAAAGTTGGCCCATTAAGAGAACGGATGAGAGACGCTTGAACGTAGCCGAACCCGAAATGCGAATGTTGAGATGGATGTGGATAGGAATGAGTACGTACGGGGGAGTCTGAAAGTAGCACTGGATAAAAAGTTAAGATGTAATAGGTTATCTTGGTATGGATATGGAACTTGGTATGGATAACGGACGGATGAGGAAAATGATAGGTATGGGAGTTGAGTGTTACTCGTACAAAAGAAGAGGAAAACCAAAGAAAAGGTGGATGGACTGTGTAAGTGAGGATATCCCATACCTTTTCTTTGTTTTTTTAAGCTAATCTTCTCTCTCACTGTTTACTCCCTAAGTAAACAGTGAGATGACGAATTATAGAGTAGAATGGAAGAATCATATTTACTGCGCCGATCCCAAATAAAATTGGAAAAAGGGAAGGCAGATGATGATAACAACAGAGCCGTAGAGGGACAAAACATAATGTTTTGTCCCTCTACGGCTCTACAAACACACGCACCTTCATCACACACTAGACTGGCAGTATTGTCGTCATCGGCACAGTGTGCCACAAACAAAAAAAAAAAATAAGGGCGGCAAATCTGACGACTATTTCCAGAAACTAACATGGCTTTTAAACAATATAGTATGAAATACAATTTTAAAGACAACTCCCGCACTAGGAATATATCCTGTCTCTCGACACAGACACACAGACTTTATAGCGACCCCTATTAATTAACACAAGTTTTTATTTGAAACTTTCAAGATACTGAATTAGTTGTGTTACGTGTACCAGTTTGTTATAAGAACGACTAATACTTTAGTAGGAAGTACCATTCTTGCACTTTATAAAAATTCAACAAGTCGATATGCGTGCAGTAATTTGCCTATGGCGGTCTGAGGTTCATTTTAGAAAAGGGGTCTCTTGCCCAAAATAGTTTGGGAATCCCTGGCTTAAACCATTACGTTCGTGCAGTCAATTATTGACATAGGTGTATCTACAAAACCAGAATGCTGTACTACACAATAAGTATATTAATATTCAAAAGTATTTTGATCGACTGAATAAAAAGTGATTATATATTCTTTAACTTTTATTACTTAGAATCTCTAGATCTTTAACAATGTATCACATATTTTTAAACATCTATTTATCATAAGAAAAAGGCATTTTATTTCATAAAAACTTAACAGCGAGTATAATGTTAATAGTGTTATTACAATCTCCACATAAAACAAGTTATCCTTTTATATATTCAGCACACATTGGTGTATCAGGTACATCAAAACCACTGTCACGCTGAAATGAGAAATGTAATATTCCAGTATTAGAAATAGCATTTGTATAAAGAGTATTTATTGAGTATTATAATGACTACGTGTACATACAGAACACAGCAAAATAAAGTGCGCTGTTAAAATGTGTACTGAGTCGCTTCCCTTACCGATACTCTGTTGACCACCATTATATATAATAGAAGTTTAAGTAAAGAAACTCATACTTCGTCCTTACTACGAATTCATTAAAGATTAAAGCTTAAATAAACAACAAGTGACAATAAGCCTCAACTTATTTATAATTTGTCACTTATATGATATTTCTTTTTCTCTCGAGTTAATAGGAATTATATATTTTTTATTATATTGCATTAGTGAAAAGGGTTTAAAAAATAGGTAAATATTACACAGGGGTTATTTCGCCACAGTACAGTCGATTTTCTTTTAGTTTGAAACTAGATGGCGTTGTGTGTCAGATGACAATTTTTTTTAAATAGACTATACTGAGACTGTTATTGTGGGGTGTGGTATTTTAAGATTATCTGTAAACATGTATTCGTAGGATAAGAGTAACGCCTCAATACAAAAGCATTTTCAGTTGCAATATTTGGATACAGTCATACCTCTGCGAGTGTTATCCTGTTGCTATTAAAACATGCATGTTAAAAGTTATTGAGATTCTTCACCTCATTTCCTGTCAATCATATAAAAATATAACATCCATCTTATGTATACCATTATTCATACAGTTAAAATAATGTGGTGCAGCATTTTAATTTAGGCGGTTATGTCATGGAGAAATTACGTGTCTTGAAAATTATTCCTTTTAGTACATAGTTGTGACAAGCATATATCATAATTAAAAATCTTAGCCTACATTTTCATTCACATTAGCCTCTGCCAAAAATAAAAAAAACGAGAAATAGATAGATTACGCCTAGATTGAAAAATGTATTAGTGTAGTTAAGACTAGGGCAAAAACATATAGTGCTCAAACTGAGAAGCTTGTGATAAGCAAAGGAAGAGTGAAGACAGGCGCCGAACCCATAGCTCTACTACAGTGACCGGTCAAGTAATTTACCTAAAATAATAGTTGGGTCTGCGTGTAGAAGCCCAATTGTGTTGCGCATGACTTTGCCCGTAATTCTTGTTTTGAGCAGGCGGTTGACTATTCTGCTGATAGCCTGATGGATAAGATTGGGGGTTAGAGCTCCTCGAATTCGAACTGTATGAGGAGTAATTTGGATTCTCCATAATTGGTCTAGTATTAAATATATTGCTTAAACCTCCATTTTTGTTGAGATTGCTGAGGATGCTTCCAAAGGCGTTAGAGAGAGGGTTGCTTCCAGTGCCACCGTTGGTTCCGGTACCACCTCCGCCATTTGCGTATTTGTTCAGCGTGTTTAGGATGCTATCGATAGGACTGCCACCGCTTCCGAACCCTCCAGTGTTGGAGCTCGAGCCGCCGTAGGGAGAGCTGCCGCCATACGGTTTGCTGCCCCCATTAGAAGATCCACCGTAGGGAGAGCTGCCGCCATAGGGTGAAGAGCCTCCGTTACTGCTGCCTCCGCCGTATGGTGAGCCTCCATGGTTAATGTTGCTACCGCCGTAAGGAGAACTGCCTCCATATGGTGAATTACCACCATAGGGTGAGTTCCCTCCATAGGGAGAGTTGCCACCAGTGTGAGAGTTACTGCCGTAGGGCGAGTTTCCGCCGTAAGGTGCGCTTCCACCATAGGGCGAGTTTCCGCCATATGGTGAGCTTCCTCCATAAGGTGAGGTGCCACCAGTGTTTGAGTTTGCACCGTAGGGCGAATTGCCTCCGTAAGGTGAGTTTCCGCCGTTTTGACCGCTGGGTGGCGGAGGTGGTGGGTTATACTTTGGTGGGTTATCGGAGTTTGATGTCGGCGATTGAGGTGGTTTAAAAGCTGGTTTGTCAGGCTCAGCATGTGACCCTGGAATGAAGTTAAGAATTTTGTAGGTATTTTTAAGTCCAGTTTTAAAATTTTACTTGACAGTCATAAGTGTCAATAAACCTAATAAAATTAATTTATAGAGTTATATGTTCTACTTATGTTTATTTAAATGTTACATTAACCTGCAGTGGCCGGTTAGTTCGACAGATCACTGCGTTTGATTACCATAGTGTAACTGTCCGACTAGAAAATTATGTCGAAAATTGGTCTTAAACACCAAATTTCTTACGATCGACCGAATAAACGTTGACATTTTACCTGCAACGAGAGACTTCTTCTTGCAGGTTGGATAAGTGCCACAATTGGAGGCGTGACCAAAACTGCACGGATCTTCGGCGAGAACGCAAACTTCACTATTTAGACACCCGATGTCTTTGCATGTTCGCCCGTATTCTGTAAATTCAGAAAAATATATGTTAATATACGCATATTCTCAAGTTAGGCACTTACTTATAGGGTAGCAAAGGTACTATCTAAATTAGGACTATACTAAGCTAGGTACGAGTATGATAAACAAAAATAATAATTCGAAAATTGGTTTGATGCCTAGTTTATCCCTCAAAGGACTAGTGACAGGTGACTAAAATAGAATAAAACAGTATTAGGCCTGATATTGTTGTTATTGTTGTCACGGCGTAGATTTTATATCTACCCGACCCAAATATAAAAACACAAATATTGAAAATCGTGAATGAAGTAAAGAAATACGATTGCGTAAAAAGCAAACAGCATAAAAAATGAAAATAAGATAACACGTACAGAAATTAAACACAGAAATCATCCAAATTCAAGTCAGGGCAGCTGGTGAGGTTTGATTGCTATCAGTTGTCAAGCACTTTACAACATTTTACAATCGTTCTTCATCAATAATAACATCACATACTAACTTCCACATTAAATATGTATATATTTAAATTTAATGCTGTAACAGTATGAAATTAAACTTTCATTGACGTTTTGATGCCTAGAAATAAATGACGTCATGTTTCCTACTTCCCAGTATGTATCGCCTTTCCGCTGTTTTCCATAGGAGGGTGATAATGATGATGATGTTACTGGATACATTTGGCAAGGTTACCGCCATAACATACAACAGGAATGGTAATGAACTAAAAAATATATATTCTATTAGTTAAATAATAAATCACTAAATATTACGATATGTAGATTTAGTGGTGGTGGCTAAGCTGGAGGTCGTGGTTTCGATTCTTACTTACGACAAATATTTGTGTGATGAGCACGATCATTGTGTGGGTGTAATTTATCTATAATATATACGTATTTAAAAATATTTTAGTGTGTTTTTCAGCAGTTTGATTACCATAGTACAGAGTAGTTTGGGATCAGACAGACTTGTGAGTTATGTGAGGTTATTAATTGTTTTTTTTTTTCAAATTTTTGCGTTATTATTTAATACGCTGTCGTACCATTCATTCGGGTATCATGAAATTTTGTATATATATATATATATGTACGTTGCCACTGATACTGCTACATAGGGTATCGTACTAAAATATGCAATATACGAATAATAGAACAGAGTAGAGAATTTAACTCTAACCTGTTTTCAGAACACACGTATGTTCCTTAGAAGACTTATACAAAAAGTACTTTTACTTGTTAGAGTTAATAAATCAATAACACATAAAAAACCTAATTTTGCCTCTATTAGTATGGTGAGTGAAAATATATACCTCGTTTATTGACTGCTTTATTTAATGTATTAGAATCTTTAATTTACACTATAGGTACACCTTACCTTGCAAAAATCAATGAAAAGTTGGGCCAGATTTCAGGTAGAAGTTACTACGTAAGTTATAGGCAGGGCAGAGAGATGATGTTTTCGTCATTTCGCGTTGTCAGTTCTTGGACTATTTTGTAAAAAGCTTTGCATGAAGTGTGTTTTTTTCCCGAATACTTACTTACTCGAAAGTGCGAACATCGTTCCCTGTCGGAAAATCTTAATTTCCATTGAAAAACGACGCCAAGCACTAAGTATAATTAGATTTCCAGTTTAGGTGAAACACATCTTAAAACCATGATTTTATTTAAATAAATAAATATATACATAATACAAATTTTATTTATCGTTTAAAAATATGAACGCTCTATTCTAGTTACCTATTAATAATACATATTTATATAAATGCTATGTTGGTTTGGAATTGGAAATACAAACCACTTCAAAGACTGTTTTTATCTATTTTTGAGTCAGTTTTATTCTTCATTTCTATCAATATGTAACAATGTGCGTTTTATATTTTATTTCTACCGTTTTTAAAATTTGTTACCTGTTACTGTTCATGTGATCAAGGCTTATAGAAATTAAATATTTTACGATTTTCAAGAGTCATCCAAAAATCTAACTATACCAGATGTGCTTCTAGCCCCCAAAAATAGCAAACCCTCTGTCGTTAGTTTCAGGATTCAATTTAGGACATTAGTCTCTCTTCCTTAAATCAATAATAATATTAACGAGGGAGAACTCATCGGCGCCATGAAGCACTTAGCCGTAGAAAACCTCTTCATAAAAAGGTTATCTAAGATAGAAATATACGGTAAGAGAGCAAAGCAAATACCTATAATATTTTCCTGCGCAACGAATCCACTTATTCCGAATTATCTTTACATTGTACAAGGCCGAAATGGAAGTCCATTTTCTTATAATGTAATTTTTGATGCAGAAGAAGGACGTTTTGCACAAATCTTTCAAGAACATAAATCATTTTCAGATACTTATCTACAGTATACGCAGTGTTACAGTCGTTTACTGGAATAATAAAAGGGATTAGGATAGGTAAACGTGTTTGAAAATGGAAAAAATACACCCATATAATACCGTATGAATATATTTTATTTCGCTGTGTCTACGAGGAATTTCGCCCTTTTTATAACCCAAAGGGCGTGACCGGGTAAAGTATTCGGTTGTAAGGGAACAAGGATCATTTGCATATACAAGATTATATACTTAGATTGGACTCGCCGTCGTCTTCGAGAGTCAATATCACACGTAATAAAAGCCTACCGAACCGAAAAACTTCACTACCGAATTGTTTTCCACTATGTAAGTTTTATGGTTTTTTTATCATACTATGTTTTGGTACATAATACATAGGTATTTTATATAACATAACGGTTTTAGGTAAAATAATTGTGCTATGCGTTGTCTTGTACAAAGTGTAAACAAGTTTTGAGCTAACATGGTAAACATGTTTTTCAAGAAGTTATTTTGAGGACACAGGGCCTTAAAACGGAATAAGCGTTTATTTGGTAAAGGATAAATAATAATATTTCGGACTTCTAACACACAACGTCATCTAGTTTCAAACTAATCACAGCTTTTATTATAAAAGCTAGATTGACTGATAGAATACTTATTGTACTTTTTTTTTATTAAATACGAGTACATACATATTATACATTACCAAACCACCCAAACTCCGAAACAAATATTTGAAAATATAAAAACAATACTCATATATCACAACCCATATTATGCCGCAACTCAGTACATATTCATTCATAATATAATAATTGACATCACTAATATACTAATAAATTAAATCTATCATCAATTATCATCGCCAGTGCGGAATTAGAGCTGTCTCGCACCCTGCGCACCAAGGATACAAACAGACATCAAATATACATCTAGTTCGCCTAAACCTAGTAACTTTCGAGATACAATAGTATAAATACATTTAGTCATAGAGATTCGTAGTTTTTATAAATTATTATGACTTTATTAGACGATGACTACATTCCCACCATATCTTACCCAACATAAAGTAAAACTTCAAGACAACCGAAAGATTTCTCTACTGAGAATCAGTACAGAAATTATATCCATCATTGCAATATGTAACACGCTTAACGCAAACAGATGATATCTATAGCAGCGTCTCATTTTTAACTGACAGCAAATATTGTCCAAAGTTCGATGAACGCCATTAGAGAGCAGTTATACCTGTCAAACCGATGTACATATTGAATTCCTAGAGAGAACTTTAATCAATTTAAAACGGGTACTGCAGTAGCATTAAAGCGACTGCAAGATCGATATCATATTCCTTGTGAAACGAAAACCGGGAGTAGATAATGAAATCGTTTCTGGTCCTGAAGTCTTTAACATCCGAACTTTGGCTTACTACTACTACTTCAGCTTTACATAGTATAAAATAAAGGCGCTTTTTTGTGTTGTAAGCTGAGATCTTTTAAACTAAATAACGAATTTTAATGCGGTTTCACCAATAGAGAGAGTGATTCAACAGGAAGGTTTCTATGTATAATACATGCATATTACAGTGAAACATGTTTTTGTGCGCTTACATTGCAAACGTTGGCTAAACCTTACGATATAGACCAAAATAATGTACTACGGAATTGTATGTCTTAAAAAGATCTATCGCGATGGTATATGTCTATTTCCTAAGAATAACCCACAGTTACCATTTTTATCTTTCACATATTACAAAAAAAAGGTAATGTACGAAGCTATTGTAAACAATACAGTGATCTTCCTTATTCAAATAAATGCGTTAGATACGTTGTGCATTTAAAGTAGAGCAAAATTCCCTTTGCAGCATGTCATTAAAACGAATATCTTAGAAGATATCAGAGATTTAAAATGCGGGGACCGAGCAGCCTTCGGGCCGTACGTCAGACCCGCGTGGAAGCGGCCGGTAGGCGTAGAACGTGCCTATGAATATTGTATGCAAAGTTAGCCCGTACTATAGTCTAATCATATTAATAATATAATTAATTACTCTACACTGACGTCATATTATTATATACATTGCACCCGTGCGAAACCGAGGCGGGTCCCAAGTTTTAATATTTCACTTTTCAATATTTTAGTTGGTTTATTTAACTATTGGTAAGTATTAAATAATTTATACAAGCTCACACATCAACAGATTTCTGAAAATGAAAATCTAAAAAATAAAGTGCTGAATCTGTGTTACATCACCTACTTACTAGGTTAGTTATTGATCGTCGTTCCCATAGGCGCCATTCATTTATTACGTAGGACTATTTTCGCTCGTTTTTGACCCCTCTCCCTATTATAAGAAAAAATAAGAATAGGCGGACCCCCTCCCTTCCCGTTTAATATTTATTACGTAAGAATTTAAAAGAAAAAATGAATACACGTTTGGTTTGTTTTAATGTTTATTTTTCAAAGTAGCAATTTTTGGAAGTGTTTATTTGTACTTACAAAAGTACTAATAATTTTTATTTTTTGGTATGTCTTTACCTATATAAGATTTGAAAATCTTATATAGGTAAAGATGAATGATTAAAACCAAAGTTTATTATTGGGTTGGATTAGGTTGTCCGGGGGATTAGATCCACTCGGAAAGTGGATCTGCCACTGGAACATCTCTAATAATAGG